GTGATCGAAAAAGAAAATGGAAAAACAATAAATTATTTAATACAAAAGAAAACTTCAACAATCAATCAAGCATTGATAAAGACTTTTTCAGATCGTCGTTCGTCGATCAATTCCCACACAGAAAAACAAAAGATATTGTGAAAAATTTTATTAGGATGCAATTTTACAATCTGAGATAGCTCTGCAGACAAATTCACTACACCGAATACGCTATACATCGAAGCTAAATTAAATAAAATGTTACTCGCACACTAGTATAATAAATACATGAAGTTAATGACAGTCAAGTTTATTTTAATGATTTTTCTAATTAAATCGATTTCTATGCTTTAAAATAGAATTGTTGTAAAAGAAATATATAACACAGGTACAAGCATTATTCATAGACTTAATAATCTATCATGGGTATTAGAGAATTTCATCAGTTATAGAAACGGATATATTATATATCAAGTTGGCGAGTACTTATTTATACGTACAAATGAAGCATTGCTTCCATTTACATAAATATAGTAACATTTCTAATATTAACATTAAAATAGACAACATACTCAGTCTAATATCAAAACACTCAAAGTAATGGCATTTCTTCAATAAATATTACTTACAAAATATTAACAGATATAAGATTTCTCTTAAAAAAGGTTATTATATATTACTTTTCAGATAATTAATTAATTTTAATAGGTGCAAACCTTTAATAAATTTTTATCCAATATGGATAACACAATCAACTATTCTATGCAATATAAATATGGGATAAAGCCATATTCTCCCAAAGCAATAACATTTAAATTAAACGAGTAAATTTAATTCTTTAACGTGATTGTACTAAAAGGACCTAATTTTTACTATTTCCTTTCAGTCGCTTATGCCTATTCTTCATAAGTCATCTTTCAATCTTCTACGCTTTCGACCTCTTCTCTTATTCCATGCTTAGTTGCTTTTAAATAGTTCGTCACTAGTCTAACTTCCTCTCTTATTATATGAGCAGCGTTTTTTTATACCCACAAGGCTTGAAGATAAAAAAAAAGATAAATGAGGACCTAAAGATGAACAAATTTTACCCCTTTAGTGTTATTTATTAAACATTTCTAAAGAATGCTTTAAGCCAAGTATCTAAAAAGCACGACTTGAAAGCACAATCAGTTTCACACTTAATATATGTTTTCACGAATATACATGAACCATCCTACATATGCCGTTCAGTATTACCAAATGGATTATTTTTCTTAGTTTAAAGCTATGAAATGGTATTCATTGGCTACAGGAAGCTAATGGGTTATGAAAATAAATACGCGGAGTATTACTTCTATGTAAAAGTTGTTATACTAAATTGTTCAGAATTTCAGAATTTACGGAATATGGTTCGTTTATCCCATTTTTTAGGAACATGGGAACATCTGTGAAAAGGTTTATGTCAGAAGTTCAAAACAAAAGTTCGTTTTGCTATTATAATATATCTTTTCACATTAATGTATAAAAATAAATAATCTTATCGACTTTTTATTTGATGTCCTTTCTGGTATATATATTCAATGGATGTATTAACTTATCTGTATATACGATCAAGGCAAGTCAAGGTAAAATGTGGCTCTTTGCTCTTCATAGGATCAGCGGAAACTAATATATATATTAAATAAAATAAGTTGGTTCGATTAAAAATATATAACTGTTGCTGTTAGGAAAACTATAATACAGTCAGTTAATCACGTTATAGTAACCACTAACAAATCCAGTCCCAGTCATTAATAATTAAATTAAAAATCTTTAGATGGAATATGAATCATGATTATTGTTAGATAGTTAAATAGTTGTTGTGAGATATAAGAAAGACCAATATAGGAAGAATTAGAGTGCTGGTAGACGAATGATATCGTAAAAGTCTACGACAGTGGTTCAATAAAGAAAGGAAGTTGATTTTTTTGGAAACTATCGACAAAACAAAAATATTAATTATGTTAGTTTGCATTCGAAACGAATACAGCGCTCAGAAGAAAAAAAGAAGAAGAAAATGCTCATTCGCACTTAATTTTGGAAACGTCCTTATAAAAAAAAGAACCTATGTTTTGCTTTGAGAGAAACTAAGTAATCTTAAGAAGAAAATGATGATACTCTATACATCTAATCTTTTATTGAATTTTATTCAATAAACTATTAACATTTAATGTGTTTATTTCTATTCAGTTGTTCTTCCATGTTGCCACACGCAGTTTTCTTCAAATTTATGTTTTATAATCCAAGATTTTTCGCCACTTAAGCTATTATAAAATCAAATTTCTTAAATTAGCCAAAAAATTATTTTTATAAACCTTTGTTAACCTGCTTTGCTAAAATAAAAAATAACTTTTACTCTATAATAATGACAATAAAATTACTTGAACTATTGACCTCAACGGCACAAATTCAATATGCAAGTGTTTGAGAAATAGAGGCCTCGACGGCGTGGATAATGGCAGAAATTGCAACATTTTGTCGCATTTGGGAGCGTTCATCAGTTTAAGTGCAGCGAATAAAAACTTTCTGAGCAAACAAAAAAGGTTGCAACTGTCGTGGGAAATGCGCATAGAAATTTTCTTTACTCTCGAATTGATGCATATCGCAGGGTCTTTATTGTTTCCTCAACAAATTGCGATGCAGCGTTTCAAATTGAGTTATAAATCATTAACAACAATTTTTATTCAAAAATAATAATACCCATACTTAAATAAATGGAGTGATTTTTTTGACTTATAAGAATCTTTCATACAAACATGCAATATTTTCAAAAATATTTTTACTCCACACTTTTTGATCTGACGGATGTGAATACTTATGTCGTAGACTTAAAACAGATACTAAAAATATATTAGATAAATAGTTACTAGAATACATTTTATTAGTCTTTTTTTGTAGGATAAGAAAAGTAAAGACTAAAACTGGAATATGAGAAATTATAGAAGATTAGACATACCGTCTAATCTAGACAATCTGTTCTTGGAAGTATTTCATATATACTTTATATTTGTTATATTTAAATAAAGCACAATAAGAAATAATTAAATAAAATTAATTAAATCTTGTTTTTCTAAGAGATCTTCTCAAAAGTATTAAGTAACTCAGCTGCGAGCCTCATTATTTCTCTATTCATCATTCTTAAAAGACAACGTGGACACTAAGCGCTGTGGTTCCGCCTAAAATCTTAATTTTTTCCTCTTAAACAAACGCTAAGATTCACTTTCGTTGGGTATCTTTTTCTTTATTTATTATTTTTTAAATTATTTAATCATATTTTTTTATTATTTAAATATTTTTGTTTATTGTTCGCGCTTGTGATGATGTAAAATGTGCTTCATTTGTTTTTATTATAAAAATTATCTACTCGGAAGGCAGCTTTGTCGGTTGAGTAATAATTTAGAAAAAAATTATGTTTTTTTTTGACGATGCTTTAAAAATATTTTATAGAATATTTTCAGTTGAATACCTAAGATTTTGTTTTGATTTTAATTGGCATTATTGCATTATCATCGTCATCAGTAATTCAAGCATGAGAAAACAAATAATTTGGTAATATGAAAAAAAGCCTTTAGACAAAATCTTCCAAAAGAAAAAATATATATTTCTATAAAACTAAGGCATCTTCCGGGTTAAGTGAACTATGAAGGCTCAGTTTATGTTAATTAAGCTAATTAAATATTTTCTTAGCACACATGTAATTAAAAGTTTTTACCAAAAATTAACAACAATAATAAAAAAAATGAAGTACAATACTAAAATAATAATAATTACGTATGTAGATATTTTTTATAAGTAATTCATTATTCATAATTATTACTAAATATAACAAAAAGTCTTAAATAATAGAACTTTACAATAATCAATACAATAAATAAATTCCAGTTAATGAAAAAATTTATTACTTAGTATTTAATTATTAGTAACTTTACTAAATGATAAGCAGCGACGGTTAACGTTTATAGCATTTTATGGTAATAAAAGTCATTTATTGTAATAAATGAGGTAATATAATATATATTACTTACCTATAATAAAATTTATAACATTGGAAGCTGTTTAACCCTTTTGAACAATTCAACAGCTTAACAGTAGCCGGGAATATCCGGAACTTAATTTGGGTTAATCATTTAATGCATCAACATCTCTTTTAGAGATAAACGCTATTCTAACACAAGCTTAGATGCTATGAACACATCATCAACACATATTTTATTACGATGGAGCTATTTAATTACCATATGTGTAGTAACAACTTCTGACAATTAGTTAGAAGAATGATTTAAGGTTAGGTTCCTCAAAGAAAACGCCACTGTCAACTTTGCTATCAAGTTTTGACCCGTTAATGCATATCTCTAAACAATCGTTTGAAATGGCCCGTAACCAATTTTCCTTTACAGGTATATGAGTAAAGAAGTTGCGATCAAGTAGAGAAATATTCATAATTAATATTGAAAGGAATTATGGGACCATATGTTACTTTAGTTAGTTATGTTAGATATCTACCTTAATTATTTAGAGATGTAATGGTTTAACCATTTAGAGTTTAGATCTGCTGAAACCGAGGATCAGTCAGCCAACAGTGGAGAAGAATAAATAATCCCGTGATTGAGTCGAATATATAGTTCTTGATACCGTTAGAGCAACAGTTCTACAGATTTTATCTAAAAATGTTTAGTCAACATTCCCATAGGGCATTCATTTAGAAGAATAGGCTCCACTACTGCCAAATAAAGCAACACGCATATGCGAGGATTAGATCAATTAATAATACAAATTTATTAATCATTTATAATTTATTATTCCTCGCTATTACGGATACGACTGAGAACCCCTCCTCTTCAATACTTTTTATCAAGAATAATGAATTAATTACTTTTTAGAGAATTATATACCTTCCAACTTTTGAAATAACTTTAAATCCCATTTACAGCACAACAAAAATGAAACGAAATAAAATAAATATATATGTTTTCATAAACAAATAAATTATTTATATTTCTTAAAAGATGCTATTTACATGGACCTATATATGGTAAAGCTTTCCACTTAAAATCTGAATGTATAAACTGCACCACCTCGAAAATCAGGTCGGCTATTGCCATATGGACCACCCAAGTGTTGTGAATATCCGCCAGTTGCATCAATTTGGTGACGACCATTCTCACTTTTCCAGACTGGAGCACGTCCATCAACATTAATATCAAAGCCTTTACCGGGACTGCCACCGCCTTGTGCTGTTAATTGACGTCTTTCACGGTGTAACTCTGGTTGCAATTCATAATAAGCCAAATCCTTTATAAACAAAAAATTATTATTAAATTATAAAATAAAATTTTAAATGAAAAATTTGACTTACCGCATTTTCAATGGCTGCATCAGCTAATTCACTTGGTTCATATGAATAGGCAAGTACTGCAGTTAGAGCGCAAAATAAAATGACCAACTTGAAATGCATTTTTAAGGAATATTTTTTGTTTGTTCGTAATTTAGTGACTTGAAGTATTTTGTATTAATTATTGAACTGATAATAACTCACATCAATTCACTTGCTTTTATATTCCAGACACAATACTTAAAAACATATGGCGGAGATAAGTAAGTGGATCCCCTAACGAAGATCCCCAAGCATAAGTACACGGCTCATAAAATTTTTTTTGCTGATAAGAGAGATGTGAATTTTTTACAAAATTTGTACTTTTTCTTATTTAAATATAAAAAAAAAATCATTCTAAACTTTTTTATATTATTTTATTTTGTAATTTTAAAAAAAATGCTTAGGTATTGTTTTTTCTTTAGTTTTTAGTTAACACTAAATAAATATTAATAAAATTTTAAATGAAAAAAAAAGTTTTGAAATGTCCAGATTTTAAATATATAATAATAAACACAATCGATTTATTAATTTTAAAAATTGAAAAAATAATTACAATGACAAAAGCAAAATTATTTCTAACAATTTGATAGTTTTTCAATTTTTTAAAATACTTTTCTTATGTAAGAATAAGATGAATTAAAACTACAACACATATACAAATTATAATCAATCTAATACAATCGTATAGACACAAAATAAATATTACAAATACCGTTGATTATATTCCGGAATTACAACCTGTACCAAATGATCTATTCATATTCACTTTACTTAACAAGCGCTATAAATTTCTCTCGTAGATCTGTACTTGGATTTGTAAATAATTTAAGAACTGTCTTTGTTGATATGCAGATGTCTGAGTTGATGATTCATCACCTTAACTCTATTATATCTGTGGACAGTTTTAAGTCACACTAAGAATAACTGAATACGGGGATTTATAATATGATGGATCTGATGTCTTTGTATCTGCCTGTGTTTATCAGATTTATGTTTATTATTTTTAGGTTGCTGAGTGTTGGATTATTGTGATTGTGAATTATATTGAACAGTTTCAGTGCACAATCTTAAATATATTTTTCGACTGAATCGATTCTCAGATCTCTGTGGATATCCGCTCCTCTTAAGTACCATGGGGCGTTAACCAGTTTTCTATATAGGCGATATTTTGCCTTCTTTGAAGAATTTTTAATGTTGAGTTTGGCGCTTGGCAAAACCCAATACTGCCATTAAGTATTTCTGATTTAATAATCTGCTTGAATATGTTAACTCTATTCTTTATGTTGAGCATTTTGCTGCTGATGAGCGGGTGGAAGGAGTACAATATTCGGGCAGCTTGAGCTTGTTTGGACTTGAAATGTTCTATCCATTTACATAGTTCATTTAGCTATCAAAACTTACTATGGCTTGTTGTTCTTGTACCCTAATCTGAAATTTCTTTAACTTTTAAAAAGCCTCTTATATTCACTTTCTTGTCGATTGGTGATATTTAGTGGATTGAAAGTGGATTAGTGATATCGATTTATTTTAGCACATCCGGCATATTTGAAGGGTGGATTTAATGTTCAAGCCTCATGTAACTTTTAGTAGTTTTCAAAAATCCCCTTTAAATATGAGTCTCTGTATATTATATGTTCTTTGTTTCAGTATATATTGCAACTCTCTCTCTCTCTCTCTCTCTCTCTCTCTAGCTTACTTTTGTTCGTTCATAAAAGAAAAATAAAAATAAAAGAAATTAGAAATAAAATATATTTATCTACTTTAGATATATATTTATATGAGAAGATAAAAAGGGTTTTGCATATATGTTCCTTTAAAAACTTCACCTTACCTGTAGCATTTGAAATTCATTTGTCAATACTCATTACCCAATGCGTGGCTTTGTTAAATCCAAAGATTTCGTTAAATAAAATTAACTTTAATCTGGTGCTTGCCTTTTGTACAAAACCTGACCTAATTATGTACAAACCACTTAATGACATAAGAAATACTATTATACATTCCGACTGTGCTCAACTCAAGTCAGTTGAAAGGTTCAAATATTTCATAAAAATTTTTTTATGGTGGTTGTGTGCGATTGTATCTCAAAATAATAGAAATAAACTTAACACTTAAAGCCTTTGACACTTTCAACGTCACCTTTCGTGTTGCAGGCTTTGCGTGTGCAAAGCATTCAACACTTTAAGTATCAAATATCAAATAGCAAATCCAATAAAACCCAAAATAGATACTGACGTGCTATGCACCGAAAAAAAAATGTCAACTTGGCATTAAAAATAGCAACAAATATCGTTAGAAACGCCCACGCCAGTTCTGCCACTTCTGCCACTTAATATTGTCAATCAATTTGTTGTTATAATTGAAATTTGATTCCTGCCGATAACGCGAAGCATTTCATTTTGAGACAGAAGAAAAATACAATTCGAATCAATTTAATCGAGTTGAGAATCAATGAGATATTATCGCTGAAAAAAGTGGCATTGTCACAATTTGAAGGAATACATTTTTTTATATTAAAACTATGACGATAATATTGGGTATGGGAATAGTATTAGGTCTGCTGAATTAGCTTTTTAAATACATTTTCTTAGATATTCAAATATAATCCCGAGTTTTGATTATTATAAAGGGTAACAATCGGTTTTTCTAGTAAACTGGTGAACTATCATTTCGTCTATCGTTTTTAAACTCTTCCTTGATGTGACCTTCCTGATGGTATGTCATCTCTGAAAGTCTTTATTAAACGATTGCCAAAGGTATATGGCATATATTTATTTTAAGCTCATCTCCTGTATGCTATAATATAATAAAAGATCTAATGTCATTATTACTTATTTGATCTAATCCAGTGATTCCTGCTAATGGCTAAAGAGTATGCATTTCTATAGAACATAGTAATCGTTTTGATTTCGGTAACGTATATTTTGATTTTAATGTCGTATGTCATTATCACTTAGATGATTTAGTCTAGTTATTCCTTTTGTTGGTCTGAGTGTATGTATTTCTATAGATTATTGCAGTCATATTATCTCATATTTCTCATATTTCATATTATCTGCTTGAGATTTTAATCCATATATATATATATGTACATATTGATCCTGCTAATATCTTATTTGCACATATACTATTCCCAATTATTATTAAACGTCATAAAGCACAACGAACTGAATAGTTCTATTGTGTATATCCGTAACTCTTAACCCAGATTATTTAAGCTTTTTATAATGAACAAAGAAACAGTTTGGGTTTATTATTGTAAAATTTATATGAAGACTTGACAATATCAGCTATATGGTAAAGCCATTACCACGCAAGAATTGTACATTAACTAAGAAGCTCTGCATTTCTGTTTTTTAAGAATGACAAACATCAATACCAGAGAGCTTCACTTTTTTAAGTGATACTGCTGGTTTCAGTGACCTTTAAAGTAATCAGTTGAAGTTCTTTACTTGTTATTCGCTTTGTTGGAATATGAAATGGTTTTGCTTGACGTTGATATACACTCTTAAACCAGTTATCTGCAAATTTTTGCTCCTTTTATTTCCTGATAACCTCGTTTCTTCCATTTTCTAATGACCTCATTTATGTGACTTTTTGTGAGTCCATAGAAAGGTTCAGATTTAATATATGCATATTCACTGCTCTCTTTGCTAGGTAATCAACCTTTACATTGGCTTAAAATAAATCATGTTCTGGTACCTAGTTCAACATTACTGTTGTGAAGTTCCCTATAGTTTTGAGAAGGTTTAGTCAATCTTTTACCCATTTCAAAGTAATTCTTATAAACTGGAGTGGTATTTGCAAAGTTGATACATTTCTTTCTGATACATTTCTAAGCGATATCACGAAAATTTCTTTATATACACGCGCCCTTTCTCTCACATCTGCTAATGCGTTCGGTCGACAAAATACAACTATGTCCTAATATTTGAATTGCATTAGATGCTCTTTTTCTTTTTATTTATTTTTCTCTTTTCTTATTTTTAACTTATATCTAATTAGTTCTTATGTTACTATCGATTTAATTTTATTAGTTAATTTTATAAGCTTTTAACTATAGTATACTTATATATGTAAATAGTATACTATAGTATACTATATACTATACTGTATAGTTATTAGTTCATTTTATAGGTTTTTAACTATAGTATACTTAGACTTTAGCTATTTTAAAGCCGTCTAAGTGCTTCAGGCAGCGTAAAGTTAAGATAACTCTACTTCTAAAAAACTTACTTGCTGACCTAATCTTCTTTAAGTAAAAAACTTTGCATACTTTTAGTTACCAAAAAAACTAGTTCACTCTTAAAAACGTAGATAAAATTTAGATAAAAAGCACTAAAAGTTTTGATTTCAATGGGGTTCTCCAATAGAAGCATAATGTTTACAGAAAGTCTATCTAAAATTGAGAAAATAAGTTTAGAATTGTTTTTATTTCATAGAAAGATAAACCCGAAGGTATAATTTATATGATTGTTTGATTGAAGCATGGAGTTTCCGATTCAGAGATGGCATATTTTGTGGGAAGTACGGTAGTTCAAATTAGTATCAATGCGGTAATTAGATTTACATTCGTGTCTGTGGCGCTTCGAGTGCATTGGCACTGCAAAGGACACGCTTAACACCACATGAAGTGATTTTGTTTGCGTTCGGTGGCACTGCACTTCCGTTTCCGGAATTATGTTCAAATTTTTATTTGCATTGAACACGCAAATTAGATTTTTTTTAAACAAAAACTATACAAAAACAGTTCAGTTTTTAGGCTTGCAATACAAAGCAAATGCAATTCAACCACATTAAGTCCTTCGCAACCTATGCAAGCCATATAAATTAATTTTAATTTTAAATTAAAATAGTTTTTTCTATAGAATTTTTTTCTTTTTTTAGATGAAACATTTTTCAAATTAAATATTTTCCTACTTTTTTCTTTGCTAACGCTTCAAAGTTTAGAGTTTAATTTTTTTAGTTTGGGCGTTTGGAACTTCTATGTATTTGCCTCACCTATTTTATTCGGAACTTTTTTAGGTTATATTACTTTGTTCCATGAAGTGTTGATGGCATGATTTTATGGTTGTCGAGTCCGCCATTGCGCTGAGGTAATTGAGTTAATTTTCATGGAATTACAATGCATTTTGCTGCCATTGTTTGTTAGTTATTTGCCTTCTGCTCTGTTTTGTCCTTTTTACTTAGTCCTTTTTTGTTTTTGCAGTAAGAAAAGTGGTTCTACATGTGGCTGACAAAAGCGAAATTATATGTTTGCGGTGCGCAGTATCCTGGGGCAACCCAATTTTGTGGTAATACGACATTTGTTTGTGTTGACATAATTGTTTTATTCGTTTTTTATTGCTATTGTTGGTTAAAGTTGTTGTTATTTTAATTACATTCCTTCGTAAAGTATGTAATTTTTCATTTTTTTTTTTTTGTATTTAATAATTATGTGCTCTATGGCACTTTACCACCCTCAAAAATAGTTAAAAAGTTCAATGACTCAATCGTTTCATAAATAACAGTAAACCATATTGAATTTTGTTTATGAGACGATAAATTCAATCGTTTTTTGAATTAAATTAAAGCTCAAAAATGTTTATTACAGCATAAAAAATAAAAAAGAAATAGAAATAGAATACTTTATATAGATATATTTGTATAGATATCATGTTAAAAATATTAGTATATCTAAAATAAAATAATTTTATAACTTGAAGCAATAAAAACGAATTAATTCTTTATAGCTCATGATTAAAAACCTATATTTGAATGGAAAAAGTATTTCCCACCTATTGAAGAAATTGTATCTTAAGCTCAAACTTTTCATTTCTAAATAAGTAATGAGAATTTTTGTTAGAAAAACTATTTTAACCTATGTATGTTTTTATTTAGTTATTTGGCACGCTTCCTCTTCGAACATTTCTCTATTAAAAGAATTGAGATACAACCATCAACATACATACATACAAAATGCATTTTAAAATAAACAAATCTTCTTAAAAAAACGCATTTATATTGACGCCAACTATTGACAATTCTATCGATTATATCGACTCATTAGTTGCTTTAATGGATGAAATTTGTTGGATGAAAAAAAGCGAATTTATTGCTACAAAGCAAATTAATAGTCTTCAAAAGAGTTGGTAAAACCATTTACATGACTTTTATGTGCATAAAACACTATCCTTTGATCGTACATTTGGATTACCTTTTACACCCAAAGCATTATTCCGGAAAAGTAAAAGTCAAACGATGACAGAGTTAACAAATATAAAGAATGATGAAAAATTAAAAAATAATTTTTATTTGAAAAGTGTGTCATACAAGAGGAGAGTTTTTAATTTAATTAATTGACTTGAAACAAACAAACTAAGTATAGGCTCCACCCTTTTGTAGCTCAAAAAATCCAACAAAATAGATTATTATGATTTTTTGATATGCTAAACTATAATTCTGTAAAAATCAATTAAGAGCTCGCTGAACTTTGATGAATTTACGCATAATTTTAAATATGAATATAGTATAAAATGATCAAGTATTGATAAATATATTACTCATAAATTTTGTCGGTACCACACCTTTTAAACGAATACAGATCTTCAGTGGAATGTAAACTAATCAACACCTAGACACCTAGGCGCTAAAAACTGATATGATGGACTATACAAGTGTTAGCATTTTTTATAAACATCTGTTTATATTGTTTATATTAAAAATTACAAATTTTTCAGAAATAGAATATATATAATGTATGTTAAATCAATCATAAGCATTAGATATACATTTCATTATTACAAAAAAAAATAAATTTGTTAAAATTATCCCATTTTCCAATATATATATATATTTTTTTTTTTGAATTATAGATACTAAACTATAGTTAATTCCTTTTTTGTTTAAACAATTATTAACAATTCTTACAATTTGCACAGGGAATTAAATAATAAGGATGGTTTCTAACGAAAACCATCCGACAGATAACATGTGCCACTCGTTATTGTAAAAACTTACAGTATAAATATAAAATGTAACTAATGTAACTGAATCAATATATACTTACGTAAAAGAAAATTAATGAAAAGAACCAAGAGACTTGCTGACCGCATGTAGCGTACAATTATGACGAACATCAAATATTCAAAATTCGTAATCTGTTGATATAGAACATTGAAATATTTCGCAGGTAACATATAAAAGCTTTTGTAAAAGAACTTTTTAAATAGAAATGTTTAGTTCTATATATTTGAATGGTCAGTTTAGCTGACCTTTGATGTACAATTTTGAAGGTATATATTGTGATCACGTATTTCGGTTAACGAACATATACCTCGTTATTTACTTACTCACCATTGTTTGTGAACGAATGGAGAACTCTATTATAATGTAAACTAACTAACACTGCACAACAGTTCAGCTCTAAAAATCGGTTTGGAGGTTATCAATATTTTTAAATAATTTAAACGTATGCTGTTTTCAAAATAAATATATATAGAATGGAGCTGAATTATTTTATTCTTCTATAAACAAATATTAATGCAAAGAAATAACAGCACTTGTTGATCGTATGTAGCGCACAAATATAACGAAGATTCATTGGTTATCTTTTGATACTGAAAATTAAAATAAATTTGGGATAACACACAAAAGCTTTTTTAAAAGAACTTTTCTAAATTTGTATGTGCCACTCAGTATTAGAGTACTCTATAACTGGTACACCTGCTACAATACTGTAATCCCTCAAACAACGATAACGCTTATATATATATTTATCGGAGTACAGAATCAAATCATTAAGTTTTATAATCTATACACATACAGAAATATCTTATTGTTTAGACATTAACAGTTCAGCTTAATTATAGTTAGACGAGCAAAATATCATACAAATAATTTTCTATATCTAATCTCATTTTTTATTATCCCTCCCACCATTTTGAATAAATAATCCATTAACTTAATTAAAAAGTTTGTAATGCATACATAATTAATTTAATTCAACATGTTAAGATCAATATAGTATTCTTATAGACCTTGAACTTAATAAGCTTGAGTATATTATAAGTTTTATTTAATCCTTTTATTCCTAGGTGGAACAGAGGGCCGTATATTATAAGTAGACTTATAATTTATTTTTGACTGGGGTAAGGAACATGAGATATCATATCAGAAAAGCGAATTAGAATATATAATAAAAACATCGGTAAGCAAATAGAGAACAAAAATTACTTTCTTACCGTTTACATGAAAAAAGTATTAAATACCATTAATATTTTTACTATGAATAATTAAAGGTCAAGTTCATAACTATCAAACAAATTATTATTAGTATTATTTGTTTAAAAAAAACAAACAAACAGCATATTAATTCAGACACACTCTTATAGAGGAAACATTACTCATGTGTCCACCTGGATACGCCCAAGCCCATGAAGTCGAACGTTTATCATTTCTTATTGGCTATAAAAAAAATTTATTTAATAAATAGTTTTTATTACATAAAATATTGCTATCATATGTCAGTAAAAAAAAAAATATATATATATATATATAGGTTAGCTGTTTCAACTGAGCACTCATTGCATATACAGTTTGCTGTAAGAACTTCTGACGATCGGATAAATTGAAAAATCAATAAAATAAGTAATAATGAAACTTTTGATAATCGCGGTTATCAGTATAGTTATCGGTGTTGTTTATGTGAAATTTAATAAATTAACATGTCCATTGCCTTTGCCAGTTTTTGACACTAATAGATATTGGGGATCAGACGAAGTCGCAAACTATAAACCAGATGAAACCATAAAACCTTTCAAAGTAGAAGTCAATAAGGAAGTGAGAAAGCATATCATAGTATATATTTCCTAAAGGACATTAATTAAGTTTTTAAAAATTTTCAAGGAAATTATCGAGTTACAACAACAACTGAACCGCACCTTTAAATACACGAAACCTCTGGAGGGCATCAATTTTGAATATGGTTTCAATAGTATAGCTTTAGCAGGTATTGTCAAGTATTGGCGTGACTCTTATTTACCAAAATGGGTGGAACGTGAAAATTACCTTAATAAACTTCCACAGTATACAACAGAGATTCAAGGGTAAAGTAAAAATATCATTTTAAAATGAATAAATACATATACGTAATATTTGCTCCATATACATGTGTATACAAAAGTTAAAAAGATGTTTTTTTTTTAAAATGCTTGAAATATTAAAACATACTTTAAAAAAATGTGTCAAATAAATGAAACCATCTTTTTGATTTTTAATAAATGCGACATATAATATATATATTTCTAGTGACCTATAATAATTCAAATAAAATTTCTTTAGTTACTAAAAACTACTAAGTCTAAAGTCTAAGGTGCTAAGAATTTAAGTTTTTATATCTACTGATATCGTAATAACTAATTATCATGATAATTAATACTGTAATCTACACTTATTTATAATTATTTACAAATGTCTGTACACAGATTATCTGAAAGTAAAAAAATTTTGCAATCTATTATTAAATCTCACTTATTTAAATAATATTTATTATTTATGTGTTTCAATTAGTACGATTCATCCCATTTTAACACTACGTTACAGTCTTAAAATCCCTGCAAATTTGCAAAATCTATCAATAAAATTGTTAGAAACGATTTATTTTTTTATATATAGTTAGAAAATTTAGAGACAAATATCATATATTTATTTCATATACATTTAGATTTTAAAAAAAAATTTAACAATTAAGTGTTAATTGACGAATGTAGCGTGCGTTTGTGAATCAATTTAAGCATTAAAGTTCAGTTCTTCGGTGGATCGTTCATTGCGATTTCAGTTCATTAATAGAAATCGCGGAGTGCGGTTGTTGTTTGACAATTTCGTATTACTCATATAAACAAATATGAAATTTATTATTATAATCGCAGTTATCAGTATATTTATCGGTGCTGGTTATGTGAAATTTAATCAATTGACACGTCCACTACCTTTGCCAGTTTTGGACACTAATAGATATTGGGGACCAGGCGATGTCGCAAACTATAAACCAGATAAAACGATAAAGCCATTTAAAGTAGAAGTCAAAAAAGAAGTGAGAAAGCATATTATCATTAAGGTTGCTAAATAGCATTACTTAAATAATTAAATATTTTTGAAGGAAATTACCGATTTACAACAACAACTGAACCGCACCTTTAAATTTACGGAACCTCTGGAGGGCATCAATTTTGAATATGGTTTCAATAGTATAGTTTTAGCAGGAATTGTCAAGTATTGGCGTGACACTTATTTACCAAAATGGGGGGAACGTGAAAATTACCTTAATAAATTTCCACAGTATACAACAGAGATTCAAGGGTAAAGTTCAAAGATCATAAATTTGCATTAATTAGATAGTGATTTTATTAATATATTTTCTCAATTTTTTTGTTTATATTCTTATCATGTATATATATATATAAAGGTATTTATATATTTATATATATATATATACATGAAGAATAAAATAATAATTAAAATAGTAATAATACACAATAATATAATTTTAAACTAATTTTTTGTTGCAATTGTATTTTAAAAGTTAGTTTTTTTCGGCTTTGATAATTTAGTATCTAGGCATAGTCCGACAATCTATACCACAGTTATCAGCAATGCTTTGATTTAAGATAACTTACGTTTTGCTATCTTCTATGAACTTAAACACTTTAACTATTCAAGACTATCATATCATAATAATGCTTTCATATAAATTTTTACTTAAAACTTTTCTATAGATAATTATTTTATTTAAATTGAAATGAAAGAATCAAATTAAAGTCTATTATTGCCGCAATTTTAAATAAATTAGAACTCACATAAATCCAACAGCCAAGTACATAATAATATATTAAATGGGTTGCCATGAAGTTCATATTATTTAGTAATAGTACTAAAATTCTTGTTACACATAAATTTTTTATTTAAATTAAATATTTTTATAAAAGTCAAAACAATAATTTTGTGTACTTAAAGAATGCATTTTTGCTTAATAATTAAAAAATTGAAATTTGTGTAAAATAAATATTAACCTTAAGATCCACAAAATAGTTATTTTTATATGAACATTTTATTTTTATTATAAAACCATACATATCCAAGACAGAAATTTGTAATAATTGCCTTATCGATCTTAAAAGCTTAAGAAATTAATTTAGAGAATAAAATCAGATCATTATTAATAACTGTTAACAATATATGCTTCTTCATCAAAAAGATCACATTTTTTTAAATTTTTAAAATTTTATTACTTCATAAATATATGTGTATAATACATTAATTTCTCTAAAATAATTTTAGTTAATTTTATATAAAATTTTTTATATACATAACCTCCATAGTGATTATTTAAAACTCTATATGTAACATACATTTCACAGGCTCAAAATCCATTTTATTCATGCCAAACCCTCCAAAGAAACTGCTGCACAGAAAAAAGTAATTCCCCTTCTACTTTTACACGGCTGGCCCGGTTCAGTACGTGAGTTCTACGATTTCATACCAATACTAACAGATGCGAATTCCATGAGTGACTACGCATTCGAAGTGATAGCACCATCATTGGTTGGATATGGATGGTCAGATGTAAGTTACAGTTAAAGTTTACACAATCGATACTAAAACCATAATCTAATATTATAGGCTGCCGCAAAAACTGGTTTCAATGCTGCTGAAATGGCAATTGTTATGCGTAATCTTATGTTACGTGTAGGTCATGAGAAGTTCTTGGTACAAGGTGGTGATTGGGGATCTATTATTGGTGGACTTGTGGCTACAATATTTCCAGATAACGTATACGGCTATCATTCCAATATGTGCATGCTAAACACACCATTGTCAACAATTAAACAAATCATAGCTAGTTTTGCTCCGGAGAAATTTCTTCCATCACGCTTTTTCTACGAACACCATTTCCCAACATTGGAAAAACTTGCTTTTCTTATTGAAGAAAGTGGATATTTCCATATACAAGCCACAAAACCCGATACTGTTGGTACAGCATTGGCTAACTCACCTATCGGTTTGGCTGCTTATATATTGGAAAAATTCCAAGTATCGACTGGTGTTGGTTTAAATCAGAAATCAAACGCGTTGGATAAAGTGTTTACAATAGATGCAGTTTTAGACAATGTTATGATCTATTATCTATCAAATACAATTGTTAGTTCTGTACGTTTCTATGCTGAGAACGTGGCCAAAGAATTTAGGAGCTTACACCTCGATCGTGTGCAATCACCAGTGTCCATGGGTTGCGCAAGATTTAAAAATGATTTACCTCCTGCTTTGGATTGGCAATTACGGGATAAATACCCAAATTTGATACATAGCAAGTACTTCAATCAAGCCGGTCATTTTGCTGCCCTTGAAGTTCCTGTCATGTTGTATATTGATTTTGCCGAATTTGTTAATAAAATAAATTTTGAAAAATAAAAATTTATATTAAAAAATTTATAATGTTGATAATGTTGTTTTTAGTATTAGATTAATGTTAGTATTTTTAATAAGATATAGTTATGTACTTAAAAGTGTATATGGAACAAGATTTGGCTACGATTTCGTTTAGATTATTGAATGAAATCTGAGATTGTCATCTGTTATTGAAGTTATATTGAATGAAAATTAATGCATTTTGCAAATAATCTTTAACTAAGCTGTAAAAACATATGTTCTCTAGAAAACGATAACAGATACATTCTGCTTTAATTCCATGTTTTGCTCATCCTCCTATTCATATCCTAGTCCCCACTTTAAAAAGTTTTTCGAAAAAGCAAAAATTGTACTGTAACTAAGTAAATATTATTGTAGTGATCAACTCAGCAAACGTATCTTCCAAATATTATTGTATATTAATAATATTAAATACGAACACGTAATGAAGTGGAATTCAAATTAGTTTTTTTTTATCACAATTTTGTTTTGTTATTTAAAAACGCAATAGAGAACAGTAGCACCGATGAATCAAATATCTGAATTGCAAAACGTCAGCACCAGAACGTATACTTGCTTACTAAACCACAAAAACGTGACACAAAAATTATTCAAATAATTGTAGACTTACATATCTACATATATATGTGTTTACATTCGTATATATATATGAGATACTATTGATATTTCTGCTCTTTAATTAAAAACAATATACTCACATATTGTAAAATACGTTCACATATCCCAAGAACATACCTAAAAAGGCTTAATAGCCTAAAGACCCCACCCACCAAATCGCTTAAAGGGCTACATTTATACATACATATGTATATTCATTATTAATCCATTAATTTTCATATAGCTAAAAATTGTGTTAGATTACTGAAATTATCTGAGAGATGTAACAACTAAGCCAATTTCTAGTTGCGGAGCTGACATATCTATTTGAATATTACAATTTAATAACAGCTTAAAGACACCTTAAAGGTCGTTTTTCAACTCAAATAGAAGAGGAATTTAATTTATCAAGCGTTAAGATATTAATGTTAATATTTTGTTATTTTCGCAATAGTTATAGTACTAAAATTCCAAAATTTGAACTAGTAAAACTCATTTTTAATAACACATATGTATATTAAAAAAAAATCCATTTGATTTTAGCTAACAGAATATATAATCCCAAACATAATTGCCAGCAATCGACAGGTTGAGAGCAGTTAAAAATCACAATATAAATGCTTAAATAAAGACTTATTTCAGTGAGGAGAATATGAGACTTCAATGTTAACTTTGGAGATATAAATGAACTCTGTGATCACTATACGAAAACTACAACAGTACAATGGTTTTAACAATGCGAAATTCTGTGTGTCCACGAACAACAATGATGATGTTATAACTAGAGACTAGGTTCATTGGAACAACTTAAACGGAAATCATACTACTCATAAGCATTTTTCTCACATTATATCCTTAGTATATCGCTAGCTAAGAGTTAATAATAACTCTTCAATGCAAATATTATAAACTTATAGTAAACCATGTTATCGAAATAATGGCTGTATTTGAATGTAGGCTTGTGAGATTAAACTCGATGCGAATACGATTGTAATTAATATAATCGCAGAGTATATTTCAACCTGATGTGCAAATTGCAGTTTCAACCAAGTCAATAGCAAAGTTAAACTACTTTACCATAGGTGGCTTATCGCAAAGAGGATGATTCTATACAAAAAGAGATCGAGAAACTACTTAGCTTAACTTTTTTATTCAGTTTATTTCTGCTTAGGAAAGTTTACTAGTTATATGTTTCATATATTTTAATGTACATTTTGATGGACATATTGAACAAGAGGCCCAAATTGTGCTTTAGAGTTTGCACAAGTCAAAGATAATGAAAATATTCAACAAGTTTATTAATAACACTAATGCGAAGATCAATCGAAGAGGTCTTTCACGATCAGGTTAGGTACTGACTTAGATTAGTTTGTTGAATGTTAAGTAATTGCAAAATAGTTGTTTTTATGCATATGATTGACAACTAGTGGTATATACAAAAATAGCGTTCAAACCTACCCTAAAATAAATTTCAAATCATTTTACACTAGTATGTTCTTTTACACTAGATATAATAAATTTTTGTATGAAATATCTTTATTTGAATTTTGAAATAGTATGCACCACTAATTTCTGTTACAACAGACCAGACATATGTACATCTTCCACACATCACTAGCTAATTTAATTACTATTGGATGTATCTTTTTTTTTGTTTTTAAATATCGCGCTCTTGCTACTGCCCGAAATATGAAATATAAACAAAAATATTGATGGCAGCAGCAGATATTATCCAAGTGAACAAACATAAAAAAATAATAAAAGAAAAATATTTATGATTATTTATTATTTTAATATTCGCACAAAATATTAAAATATTTATTTTTAATTTTTATATACATTTTATATAATTTAAACGATCATATTACGTAGGCATATGAACTTAACCCAACTAATATCAATTAGTTTTTAATTTATTCTTTCAAGCAATTGAACTTTGCTGTTAAAAAATTCAACCGTGATGACAACAATGAAATTCAATTAACTAGTCGCACACATTTGCTGGGCCAATGATAAGCATAAGTACCTAATCTAATATTGACGAATTTTAAAAATTAACTAGTAACTTTCTATTGCCCAAAATACACTGTCATTGCAGCAAAAATTAGATTTGATTGAAATCGTTTAAGCGTAAATATGAGAGAATCATAAAATATTTGCAAATCACTTTAAAAAACAATAACAAAAACTATAAATAAATAAACAGAAAACCGGCAAAATCTAGGCAAAAACAAAACTCATACAAGTCACTAGTCATAATGTGCAAACAATACGTGTGCACATGAGAGCGAGTAATATTACTTGTTGTTGTCGCATTTATTATTTTTGCTTGTTGATAAAATCAGAAAAGCTTTCGCTCATTGTCATGCATCGAAGCGCTTATCAAAGCACAAGCAAAACAAAAACAAAACCTAAAAAAAAAACCATAAAACAGAACAGCCGGCAGTTTACTGAAAAGCTTAAAAGCAACAACAATATGCGCTGTCATATTATACAATAAATGACACGAGAGAGTAAGTGTATGTGCATGTGTGTGTGTGCACAATGAATATGTAAATTTTTTATTCCAGTCAACAGCGCGATCAATTCCATTTTATTAAAACATTTTCACAGTCAGTTGGTTTTAAAGCGCTGTGTGGATTGGTGGCTTCGGTTGATCTTGGTCTAATTTTATTAAGTTAAGGTTTTAAATTAGAAGAAAAAAATCTTTGCGGTAATAATACATCAATCAAAATGGGTTTAATGACCAGAGTTTTGATTGTAGTTATTTCGCTCGGTTTAGCAGTCGTTATACAAAACTATCGCCAATTAGCAAAACCACTTCCTGTGCCAAAATTAGATGTCAACGAGTATTGGGGACCAGGGAATGCAGCGAATTACAAAGAAAATTTACTAGTAAAACCATTCGATATTGCAACGCCAGCTGAGGTAAGTCAATGGTCTATTTTACAATTACGAAATTAGCAAAATTTAAAATTATTTTTTTTCCTAAACTTATAACATATACTTTTGAATAATAGTGAGGAGTCTTCTTGTTCTATATAGTAGAATATTCTACTTAATAAATAATTTCTTATACATGCACAAACATATATTTTTATTTGTGGTTGAATTTCATTTATCGAGAAGCCAGCTGCTTCTTTTCGCATATAAGATTTTGAAGGTCACACAGTTAAGGCTAATAAAAGGTATTATTAAGAAGTAGACAAGTAGAAGGGATACGAAAGGAACTACTTAATTTCTTTATGGTAGTTATTTCTAAAGTTTTTTTCGAAAGAGTAAAATACAGGGTTAGGTAAATATTAAAGGATTTCATTGATTTATTTATTAAATAAATTAAAAAACTATGAAAATTTTGGAAATATTTTTATATGATTGTTTTAATAAGAATAAATATATTCCATTATATATATATATGTATATAATATATAATCTAATATATATAGAATATATTATATTATTTTATTATAACATATATTATTTTACATATATTACTTCATATATGTTGTTTTATTTATGTATATTAGTTTAATATATTCAGTTCATTTTTAAATAAATTATTTTATAAATATTATTTTATATGTATTATTTTATATATATTTTTTTCATATATTTTATTTCATACATATTATTTTATATATATTAATTTATATGTACTATTTTATACATATTGTTTTATAAATATTATTTTGTATATATTTCTTTATATATATTTTTTTTATCTATTTTTATATATATATTATATATATATTATATATTATATATATTATTGTTTTATATATGTAATATTTTACACATATGTTATTTTACATATATATTATTTTATATATATAATATTTATATGTTTATATGTATTACTTTAAATATTATTGTTCTATTTTAACAGATTTTTTTTATATCCTAACTGAATTAAAAATAACGACTTTATTATATTTCATAATTCATAATTTCATAATTTTTCATAATATTTATGTAAGATAACATTCTTGTCAAAAAATTTACTCTTCGATTTAGAAAACAAATTTAAATTTCAATCAATTTTTCTGAAAATAAATGATTTAAAATGTGTTAAGGACATTCTCAAAGAAAATGTCTTTTTTTACTCCTTCCAAAAAATAATAAGAAAACCATCTGAAACTAAAACTCACTACCGTCAAAGAATATATTTCTTACTATAAACTACCCTTTTTCAAAGTTAGTCAAAACCATTTTTAAGGTTATAACTCCAACTAATTCACCATGACCTATGAGGTTTCTATTAATCTATGTATATACTGAAGGTAGTATATACAATGAATTTATTTATTCTTCATAAATGAATGGGGAATCTTAAATTTCGCCATTCCATCACATTCCGCAAACGCAACAATCAATTATGTATTATGTATTATTTTTAAGTTCCAACTTACTATTTTAATAGGTTTACACTTTGAGAATATTTTTAGCATATTTTAATATTGATTTTGTTTAAAAATGGCATTTTTAACGAGTTAAGTACTATAGTCTGAAGATAGAATTACATTAACATGCTGTGTACAACAAAATAAAATTTTTTAAATAAGTTGAATGTTTTTAAATTAAATTAACTTTAAATTAAATTAACTTAAAATAAATTTACATAAACCATTGCTAAAAATAATGCATGCTGATAATATAAACGTGCTAATCATGCCCCACCACTTTCAATATTATCTTTGTCAAAATCTTAGCCCTTATATATTCTTTAAATACATTTAAAGCTTAATTCAAAGCTCTACATATTTTTAAGTCTTCGAGCTTAATTTTGAGATTTTACCGTTTACACTATAGATCAGTAGGCGTAACTGGATTATTAGGACCGAGTGGTTTGTTAGGAAACTTATGTTACTAAATTTAAAAAATATTTATTTTCTCCAGAACAGTTTTTATGTACATATTATTAAAAATTTAAATAAGTGAATTTCTTAAAATAAATATATTTCATATACAAATAAAAGAAATATTATATCTTACATATCAATTCGGCGCACCTGTCCATTTCTCCTTCTATCGTTCACTGTAATCAGTGATTGAGAAAAACTTAAATTCCCTTCCATTTTTTTTTAAAGATTATTAAAAGTATTAGACTATATATATTATATAGTATACATGATAAACTATATTTAATTTAAAGCACTTATAATTGGAGAACAAACATACACGTGTGATGATTTAAAAAAAAAAGTGAGTAGTAAATGTGTCAACATAAGATTGATATATTGAATAAAAAAAAAATGGTGTTCTCTCTATCTATTGTCCACAGTAAGAAAATTCTTAAATTTTCATTAAAAAAATAAAATTTTAAAATATATTTAACTAAAAATGCCTACTTTGAATTTGAACCAGAACATTAAATACACACTTTTTAGTCATCTGAGGAATTTCTGCCATAGACACTTGTATGCATAAATATATATATAAATAAATATGTAATATCTATTTGTATTAATATATATCTTTATATGTGTATATATGTAGATAAAAGACATGCACTAAAAATTTTTTGCATCATATGATTTTGGTTTTATGAGCAAATAAATTGTCTATTTCAGAGGTGATTCCATTCTATCTAGTATTTTTATGCTATTTTTTTTTCTCTACTAAAATATAAATTAAAAAATGATTTAAACTGCCAAACAATTTTGAATATATATTTTTTTATTTATTTTATTATTTTATAAATTTTCTCATGTTTGACAATAGCTTTTTAAGTTTGTTTGACTCATGGAAACAATCATACATATGTATATATAGATGTATGATGTACTCATATATATAGATATATATATATATGAGTATTCATACAATAAGATTAAATAAAATAGGTGTCTAAAATTTAAAAAATAATTTATTTTATAAATTTTAAACCAAATTCTAGATTAGCAATCAACTAAAAATCATTTTTGCAATTTCATAATTATTTCAAATCATTACTTAGAGGTCACTAGAACAAAAAATAAATAAGTACCAATCCTTGATTTATAAAACAAAATTATTAAGAAGTTAATACTTTTTTTAATATTCTTAACTATTTAATTTAACCGGTTTAAAGTGATAAAATAAATATTATCATTAGTGGTTTTTATTATTTTAAATCGATCATGTTCTTTAACAGTTTAAAATTTTATATATGTATGTGTTTTAATTACTAGTCTCTTGGACTCCACTAAATAGTTATATGTATTTGCAACCAATTATAAAATAATTGCCAAATACCCATTATCAGTAGTCTTGGAAATATTTCCTGTATTTAATTATTCATAAATAGTTTTTTGAGACTGCAAGTACCAGGAATGTAATAATTTTGAAATTATATGTATTATTAAGTAGCTGCCAAATGTGTCGTCTTATAGCACATTTAAGCTGGCATAAACTTAATGTATCAAACTGCACTTTCACCGTTTTTTCAATACAAGCTCTAACGCTTCTATTATAATTTAAACACGTTTTAATAATTAAATAATATTACTGACCTTATATTTAAAATTATTAATTTATTCTAACCTCGCTTAAGTTCGTTTTGTTTTGAACTGTAACTCGTAATTTTATTAAGGTTCTTAACTCTTATTCATCTAACAAACCAGTGAGGTCTGACACAAACCAATTAGATACGCAAATTATCTATTCGAATGCGTTAGTGCAAAATTGTAATATAACCCTGCAGATTATTTGTAATGTATTGTGTGTATACTTGAGTTATACGAATTATTACGACCTATAGATCTATTGTAATGCCCTGTATATGTACTTGTGTATGGGGCCACCATACAATATCTTATTCAGTCACGTTACTCCTAAGAACTCAAGAGTCTCGTTTGGATTTAGTCTTGTCTTGTATTTAGTGCGTTTTTAAGTATTATCGCTTTTTATGCATGAGGTATTGAATAATTCTAAGTATATATTCTGATGACTCAGGTTTTTGGTCGAAGAATTTATGTAGGGGTTTTGATGCAATCAGTATACTGTTGAGGTGTCCATTTATTTGTAATTAGTCTAATAATAGATTCAGACTGCAGTATCAATTACAGTTGCATTTATTATAATAAATGACATTTAAAGTACTATAAGAAATTAATTTACTAATGCTTAATATATAGAAAGCTGTTCTTTGAGAATGGGTTTTTAAATTTTGAATCTTTATATGCCAAAATAATAAAATAAATACTCAATCAAATTATTGATAAAATTATTAAAAATTATAATATGAAATACACATTATTTTTATAAATAATTATAACAAACAATATATATATTTATATTATGAACTTTAGAAATCTCATCGAACATTTATTTTACGAATAATATAACAATTTGATTCAAAAAGAAGTTCATTAAAATTAAGTTGATGCTATTTTAGTTTAACTTTGATGTATTTAAACATAAATATATAATTCGTATCGCAAGATAAAAATATAAAAAATTAGTTTAAAATTTTTCCTGCCAAGATTTTTATATTTTTCGTGGAATTTATTTTTTTTATTGATATTAAAAATTTTAATCAATTTATAACAAATTTGAAAAATTTGTAATAAAACAGTTTTTATTTTTATAACTAAATGAAAGGATGTTAATAATGTTTAGATTAAGAATAATATAGAATTATAAAGAACTTATAATTCATAAATGCACTACAGAATATCTGCGTTTTTGTTAAAAAGAAAAACTTAAATATTATATTATTAATTATTTTATCAATCATCATTTAATTCCTATAAGATTTAAGCATTTTGAAAAAACCATTATTAGAATAGTGAGCATTTTTTAACTTAAATTTTTTTTCAGGTAGTGTTCACTTAAATAATTTGTATCTCGGTACATATTCATTATTCACGATCTATATAATTTTTTTCAATTTTTTGCTTACTCAATGAAATAGAATATACCAGTACCACAGTAGGAATTTTCAGCCTTTATACCTAGCCACACATATACATACAGATTATACAGATTATAAATATATACGTTTTATATTAAAATGTATAGCGATCTAACAAAAATATTAAGAAAAAGTTATCCTCACCAAAATATCTTAACTGCTTAAAAGAAAGTCATTCTCCCATTACCCAAAAATAGCTTGGAATTAATAAAAAAAAACATATTGACTACTTCTGCAAAGACCTATTATTACTCAATACATTTACAGATCAAAGGTTACTTCCAAAAAAAATTAGTCTCACACATATGTATTTTATTATGAACTTTTATTGAATCTCTAAGATTGTCGCAATTTTATTGTTTTTTCAGACAATAAAAGCTTTAAAAGCATTTTTTTATTTTTAATATTTTTTTTTAAATTATTTTTTTATTTTTTTAAAATTTTTTTTTTAATTTTTAACCTCTTTCCAGTTCTTCTATTATGTGAAGACGTATAGCAGACTGTCAGAAATTTACTCAAAACTAAGCAAATAACTTAACCACAAGAATCTGGCCAAGCAAAAACATATTTGAAATTCATGCCACATAATTATATTTACACTCTTGTGTAAAACTATTTACTTTTGTCGTCTTCAAGAGTTTGAATAACTAAGAGCCAGAAAAGAGTTACATATGTATTATACATATATATAAATATGCATAGAGATGCATACTTATTATTTATATAGAAGTTTTTAAAACATAATTTTGGAAAACTTTTGTGTTATTTTATTTTGAATTGAGTTACCAGATTATCATAAATACATTTATTTCTTTACAACCTCCTTGAGATCCCCGTAAAGATATCAAAATTACCTGGTGAATGGTTTATTGACAAGTCACAGCCTTTTAGGAAACCATAACAGAAGATTACAACTCCCGTAATCAGATATGTCCCAGTTGTTGGTAGGACGGTGAACGTCGATTCATATACATGACATCAATTGATTATTCTAAGGGCTTACTGTTTTTAAGGATCTTGATCAGCTCCAGAACCTCCCACTAAATATCATTTTAAGCCTTACCTAAGATTCAAATTTGTTTTTATTTTTTTATTTATTTAGTAAAGGTGTTAAAAATTGGCCCTTATATCTATGTTTAGATTGTTTTAAATGACATTTTAGACATTTCTATAGACGACATTTTACAATATATATTTATTGATGCACTACTAGTTGAAATTATTTGTATAGTATCTAATTTTATACCATTTCATAGCTGAATCATAAGAGTATATAAATGTGACCTTTTTAAAATCTATCCATCTGCTGTATAATGGACAACAAGATTGATCCCAGATGTAACGAAATGGTCAGACATGATCAGACCCAATTCCTTACTGGTAGTGAATATTTTTAAAAATACATTTTTCGCATCGGCAAATCAAATGATTGACGCTGAACAAACTATCTTTAAAAGCAACAGATGGAACACCGAAAAAACAGCACTTGAAACAATAGTCATTAGTAAACTGAACCGCAATAGGCCGATTTACGTTTACACTTAAACGGAAAAAATATGATCTCGATAATGACTAGTTTCGAAAAAAAGAGAAACAAATAAACCTAAGCGAGGTCTAGACATAGACTAATGAAGAAAATTTTTAATGGATAACCAATACAGAGGCCATACGTTGAAATATTCCCATTAAAATTCCGTGGTAGAAACAGTCTGATACACGAGGGGAATTGTTTCTAGTCCGTGGAAACGGGACATATCACTATTATGACGACATAATGACGATGTGTTAGACATTTTTAAACCTTCTCTTCGCAAAAAAAAAAAACTATGTGCTGAAACTAAAACAACTATTGTAAAAACAATTTTTAATTGTTTTAATGTAATATCTAACATATGAAAAATTGATTCGATATAAGAATCGAAGAATTAATATTGGAAAACTATTCCTTGAATTTATCTATTGCATGATCTAAGCATTTAATTGTCGATATCACCTCTTATCGAATCATCACAATAATTCTGATCTGTTGAACTGTGCTTTTATAAGCTAACAATTATTATATGAATTATAAAAAAATGTTTATTTGTTATAACACAGTTTTTTATTCTAATTATAAATACAATAAAAACTACATTTTTTTATTGATATAAATTTTTTATATACAACACATGTGTGTATGTATACTTTTCACTTTTTAAACTACAATTCTATTCTGAGGTTAGTCTGAACTTATAAAATTGCTTATCATTGTTGATTAAGTAATAAATATCAAGTAACATAGCTGTTATCGCTGAGTAATTACTTGAGAACTTTAAAAATATAATATTTGATATACAAATATCTCTTCATATATATGTATATTGTATATCTGTAGAATAAATATTTGCTAATAATTGTGTGCAATTATTTTAATTTATTTTTGTTATATTTATTTTAGGTTATTGAAGATCTCAAAACGCAACTGAACCGTCCGCTAAAACTGCACAGCCCATTAGAGGGGATTGGTTTCGAATATGGCTTCAATTCAAAGTATCTCGAAAAAGTTGTCAAGTATTGGCGCGATACTTATTTGCCCAAATGGAGCGAACGTGAGAAGTACTTAAAGAAATTCCCACATTTCCAAACCGAAATTCAAGGGTGAGTTCAAAATATTGAATTTTTAAAACAAATAACACGATTTTATGATTCATTTAATTCATTAAGTTTAATAATTAAATCATATTAAATTTTATTTATTTTTTTTTTGTTTTTTTTTTTTTGATAAGCCAAACACAAAAGATAAATAATCTTTTTTTAAAATAATTTTTTTTTATATTTTCTTTAGCCAATGGCAGGTTTTTTTTTGACCGGTTACGGTTACATAAAATAGTCATGACCCCGGCTATCACACAACAAAATGTCATTAATTAATACAATGAAAGTATTTAAAAATAATTTATAGATATTTTTGTATCTTTTGGATTTACTTTGTTTTCATGCTAAATAAATTTCCAATGAACTGTTAAATTATTTTGACTAAATATGCAAAAATTCGTTACAAATCAGTTTGGAAAGTTCATTAATATTAAATAATTTCTTTTAGTCTTTCAACATTTTATATTATTATATAATTTGTTATGTAGTCAAATGTCGAGTTTTAAATCATATCGTAGATAAGGGAAATCCCCTAATTAAGCTAACTTAAAAGAAACTATGCCACTATTAATTATAAAACTTGTTCAGTAACATAAAAATAGTAAAACTTTTTAAATAACATTCATTGATGGAATCAGAAATAAATTGAGTGCATTATGGTTACACTACTGAATGACAACAACAGGAAATGCAGATTTCTTCGCAGGTCTATGTCATTTATGGACTCCCAAAGAGTGATAAAAGAACACACTGATATAAAATGTAAAACTTAATATAGATAACATAGAAAAAGTTATTAACATATCCAAGAAATATCTAAATATCCAAAACTATCCAGTATTAACAACCTTCTCTTAAGTATCTTGTGTACTTCTAATGTTGGCAAAAAAAAAAAAAACGATCCTGTGCTCTTAATAAAACACTATTGGAGATTTTTAATCCATGTTATATTTTATATACCTAAATCGCATCTGCCTTTAATGTTCTACTTTCATTGACCACATTTTTTTCTAAATGCTTTAAGATATGACTGAAATAATCCAGTTTTCGTTGATTCACTAAACATAATATATCTCTTTCTTCTTTGACAGCTCATGAAAGTACTAACGATTTCTGATATGCTTCGCCCAAATAAAATTAGTCTTATTTAAACTTTGAACGGTCGGTCATTTCATAAACCTTACTTTTAGAATACGAAAATTTTATATTTTTTTAATCAATGTCTATAATTTGACATCCTTAACTCCCAATGTAAGCCACATGAATTATACATAAAGAATTTCTAAAAGTTTGGGAATATTCGATATAATACCCAAACCTATTATAAAAGTAAAAATACTTTTTAATGGGATCGCAAGGAGTTATACACCCTTAATAAAACCCAATTGTATAAAATCAAAATATCGATTTATGGTTAAGTACTCGTAAATTCGGTATCGATTAAATAATTAATAGCTTGTGCAGAAAAGTGTATCAGTTGTCAGTTCAGTTTTTGTACGACTTAGTAAACCTTATCTTAATTATTCAAAATAATATTTGAAAATTAATTGGTTTTAATAATTTATTCTTCAAATAGTAATAAGTAGTTAAGGTATGAAGAAGATTTTTTTTTAATATTCCCAAATAAGTAACTAGCAAACCTTAAAAACTATTTATCTTACTGCTCAAAAAGTACTCGGATTTTGTAAATAAAACACACAAATTTAAATTTTATTCCAAATTTATTTTATCTCCTTCAAAATATGCTCCTTCTGAAGCGATACACATATGCCAACGCTTAACCCAATCTTCCATACACTTTTCGTAGGCCCGTGTAGGTATGGCATTTAGTTCCTTCAACGAATTCTCTTTTACCGATTCAATCGAATTTGATGGCGCTCAAATTTGTACCATATGTCAAGAAAGGGTGTACCAACATAACAAAAAAATTTTTGAAAAAGGTCTATTACTTAAGGAATAGTTAACAAACAACAAAATCCGTTTATTTTTTGAGCAGAAGGTATATCTAAAAACTGAGTTATTGTTTAGTTAATTAATAAAGGTTAATTTAGGTTGATCTGCCATATTCTGACACATGTTGACCAATTGGTTCCTAGTGATTGCAGTTAAAACAAGACCTATTTTTTGATTTGTAATAGAGTGCTTAAGCTTTTGCGAATCTAAGGATTGCTTCTTCCTTGATTTTTGAAAGGTCCACCAACTTCCAAAATTGTGATACCTCCAAGAATCTTAAGTCGATTTAATGTTTAGGCATCTGCTTTATTCTGTAATAAATACAATTTTAAGAACAAATTTATTACAATATTATGGCTTATTTAAATTAATTAGCAAACGAAGAATAAAAATAATATTTTCTCATACTTTTTTTAATTTACTATCAAAATTGTTAGTGGCCTTAATGATTGCCAAATAAAATCAAATTTGTCGTTCATAATGATTTTCAAACACTTCGTATTGTGTTCTGAATAAATTAAATTTAATTGGAATTTTATGTTTCCATATGAAATAATCACACCAAATTACAAAACATTAGAGTTAATTATTTTTTAATATTTGTTTAATAATTTTCATAAATTGAATTAGAATTTCAATTAAGGTTGCTTGCCAAGATATTTGCATAAATTTGATATAAATAAATTATTCAGTGGTACATTTGCAATTTGTAACATTTTGTATTAAATAAAAATAATAAATTTAATCACTTTTAAATATATAATATATTAATACATAAATATTTTGATATAATTAATGAATTTGAATTAAAAAAAATTGTAAAATGCTTTGTTATTTTGACTTTTGACCTAAATAGACAGTACACGTCCACCCAAAAATTTCTCTGTTTTAGAAAAAAAATATTAAAACTATAATAAAAGGCTTCTATTTTCGATTACTTAATACTTAGTATTTTAAACAAATAAAAATATTACCTGGTATATAAGCCTGGTATATATACTCCATATATAAATATATGGAGTATATAAGCGATACGAGCGGGAGCAGAGATGCATTAAGTCCCTGTTGGTGTCGGATAATAGCACTCGGCAACAGTGATTACCCAAGTTAAAAAAATATATTTTAGAGTAAATATCTAGCTTGTTGTTATTACTGCAATTAAGATACCTAGTTTGGGGACCTTATTCGGAGTGCCAGAGAGCAAGACTTGGTCGTTTAAAACGACGGCATACTCCAGGACATAGATCCGGCCAGTACTCATAGCTGGCATTACTTCTTTGATAGCCGTGTTGTGATTTAACAATTTCCATTTTCCTGTTACTTTTGGAAACCATATGACAAGTTAAGGTTATGAGTAAGATGGTACTATACTCAGGAACTGCACAAGAGACTTAGACATTTAGAAACTTCTACTTTTACTATTGACTGAACCAACTGTACCAACTGGGAATAAAATTCTATCTTAATTAGGACAAGATTCTTAGAACGTTATATTTAACAGCATAATAATAAATTAATCCATTATAGATTTTAAAATTAATATATATAAATTTTTTGCTAATAATTATATAATATATTCAATTAATTAATATATACCGAATGCATTTCTTTAATTTGTCTAGACTTAAAATACATTTTATGCACATAAAACCAAAGAAAACTGATGGCAAAAAGGTAGTACCACTTCTATTATTACATGGCTGGCCTGGATCTGTACGTGAATTCTACGAATTTATTCCTCTACTAACTACACCAAATGCAAAGAGTGACTATGTTTTTGAAGTTATTGCACCAAGTTTACCAGGTTACGGTTGGTCACAGGTAATTATAACAATTTATCGCTAGAAAATTTGATATAAAAACATATATTCTTACAGGGTGCCGCGAAAACTAAATTTGGTCCAGTTCAAATAGCAGTTATATTACGAAATCTTATGTTACGCTTAGGTCATGATAAATTTGTTATACAAGGCGGAGATTGGGGTTCAATTATCGGTTCAACTGCAGCAGCAGTTTTCCCCGAAAATGCACTAGCTTATCATTCAAATATGTGCATAAATGGTGCTCCAGTCAACTATATTAAAATGGTATTAATGCATATATTCCCTGGATTCTTTTTACATAAGGCTCATCATGATTTTTATCCTTCACTCGGCCAATTTTTCTCTACGCTAATGGAAGAAATGGGCTATTGCCATATCCAAGCTACCAAACCTGATACTATCGGCGCAACATTATTGCATAATCCAGTGGGATTGGCTGCTTATATTTTGGAAAAATTCTCAACCTGGACAAATGCCGATTATAAAAAGTTAGCTGATGGTGGTCTTACGAAACGATATACTATGGATGCATTACTGGATAATGTAATGATATACTATGTCACCAATTCAATAACCACATCGCAGCGTTTGTATGCTGAAATGTTTAATAAAGAAAATCAGGCACTACAAATCGATAGAGTGCCTATTAAAGCACCAACAGGTTGTGCTCGTTTCCGACATGAACTTTCCCACTCCAGTGATTTCCAACTTAAAGACAGATTTATTAACATAGTGCATAGTACGTATCATAACGATGGTGGACATTTCCCTGCAATGGAATTACCACAAGTCTTATACGATGATTTCATAGAATTTGTTGAGAAAGCGTTTAAGAAAACCGCTTAATATTTTAGTTTTAAATGTAGTAGCACAGGCTGGTCAAATAATTACTAAGAATTGTTTATAGCATCGAGTCATATTAAATCTTTTACTCTTATAATGGCGTTTGTATTCATTTTGTATTGATTTAAATATAATAAATAAATATTTTCTGTAAATAACACCAATTTTAAGTGTTTTATTGACATTCTGGTAGTACCAGCCTAAAACACATGTGAACGGCATGGAACACTTTCAGGAAATTAATGCTGAAATAGAGCACTCACGTTGGTACAAAATTCATGTGCGTTTTAATACTGCTGTTGTAACCCAATGAAATCCAATAGACTTATACGATATCTTGCAAAAACAAATACGAGTTAATGATGGAGTGTAGTAAAGTAAGATAATACAGGGGTTGGGTGAAATGCGCTTATAATATGAAATCGTATCCATCTTATATGGCACAACATACAGGAAACACTTATTAGTTAAGTAATTTAATATACACATACATAGTATGTATATACCTTTTCTGAGTCTATAGCACTGTACTGTGTTACTATGCATGATTTGAATGCAATTTGTTATCCATTTTGTTACACCACGGGTTTATCAATTATACTTTTAAGTGTACTGCTATGGCACAAAGTCATCGTTGTGCTAAAGATTTAGGCATGAAAACGTCAAAAAATGTTATCAACCAAACACTGCTTCTAGGCCCCATATGGCTTTTTTTCTGTTTCCGTGGCAAGTATTACTATTTCATAAGTATTTTAAATCGATTCACTAAAGAATCTGTGGACTATACCTCATTCAGTCTATCAAAATTATATTAAATAAAGCGAAATTATAGTTATATTGCAACTTCTTTGAAGGTGACAAATTAAATTTCAATTATATGATGATTTGTTAGTGCTTCCATTAATAATCCCCAATACTTTTCACATAGAATATATAGATGTATTATAAGGTTTTAGGTTTACTAATAAAAAATTTTTAATGATTCTATTAAAAATATATACTGTTGCATAAAAGACCCTCCATTTTTATTATATCGTAATAGAATTCATAGCTTTGATTTCAGTTCATAGGCTTGATCACTTGAATAATAATGTATAAAAAATATTTAAACAATGGCGTTATTTATGTATTCCACATAAACAATTAACCAGTATAAAGTACATATATCTGAACATGTATACATACATAAGTATGTAAGAAAACACGCAACTTTAAATTATTATCTCACATATTTAATGTCATAAGAATAGCAAAAATATTCAAATTCATTCATGAACAATCATGTAAACTTTGCCATAAAAAGCTAAACAGCTGCAAAATTTTAAAGGAAATACGTTCCAGTAATCGTTTTTGCTATATTCTTTAGCTTGCGTGTACTGTCCACATCAGTCCGAAACCAAATTATCATATCATATATCAAATTATTATCTTTAAAAACGTAACAGACTAAATATGATAAAAAATGTGGTATTAGAGTGTGAAGATGCGGAGGTATGAGGAAACAAATTAAACAATTATCGGTCTTGCCAACTGAATAGTTTACTCTACAGGTTTCGGAAGTTTAAGAAAGGGATTCAACATTGAATAAGTCTAACGTAAGTACAATGAATGTCAACCATTTTTAGCTAGATAAATATGTTGACATATGAATTTGAACATATAGAACCATATTAGCTGCTATGCATCTTTGAACTAGATGAAAGCACCGCTCAACATTTCTCTTCTTTGAGTTCCCAGTGACAAGAATACCGCAAATAAAGAAAATAAGCTTAGTAGACTGGATGACTTAAGAACGCATTCGTAACTGCTCATGAATATGGACCCTTCATTAACATCATGCCAACAGTTGTAGAAATCTTTCTGTATTGAACAGTTTATTAAAAAATGGAAGGATTATACAATATGCACAGTTGACACCTTTTAAATCCAATGAAAAAGATGTAGTAATCTCAATAAAATGCTCTAAAAAAGTGTGAAGCTTATAGTTATAGTTTCCAGCACAGTCACTGTCGGTTAGGAAACCAGACTCAAAAGCTGATTGATTGAGTGATGCAGCTATTAGAAGGACAAAGAGACTGCATCATATCTTTTAATCACTATCGAACGCATACACCACGAAGATTAAACAAAGATTACATAGGAACTCACTTTCAAAAATATCTTAGTCAGATAGAAGACCTTTTCTTAAAGTATATCTAAAGCTTTATTAAAAATTTCCTATGATTTTAAACCATTCGAGTTTCGAACGGTGGTGATTATTTAATAATAATTAAATTCTTAGGATTGCCATTTTGAATTATCTTAAGTAAAATTTTATCAAAGAGGTTTTACTGATATTTTATTATTATCATATTATAATAAAATTCCATTTAAATAAACAATAACAAAATCAACCCTTTTGCCTAACTCACACATTCGATGACACAATAATCCAATACGCATAATTGGATCCTTAGAAACGGATCATCTTTTATCAAGACGACTTACTGATATTTTGATATCATAATGAAATGTAGTTTAAATAAACAATAACAAAATCAACCCTTTCGTCTAACGAAAGTTAGTTTGAATTTATATATATTTTAATAAACAACCGCCAATGTGCCAGTATAAAAACAAACCAAACTGATCATTTATAAACAGCCGAAATATACTTCAAACTTTATCTAAGAAACTGACTATAGAGATCCCATAATTGATATGAATTAACAATTTTTTGTTTTAACTTTTTTAACATAATATTGTTAAATTCTATTAATATTCTATAATAGAGCCATGTGGACTCAACTAAGGTAAACAAAAAACAATAACAAAAATAATTACAAAATATAAATAAAATCAGTACAGTCAATGGAATTTGTCTGTTCAGGCAATGACGAATATACAAATACGCTACATAGTTGGTCATATAGGTATATGTAATGATGCTATATATCATTGTGTCTATCTGCGATTATAAACTTTTAGTATTGCTATAAAGTAAGGTTTATAAAAGTTGAGGTACTTATAAAAAATAGTTGTTCCATTTACATTTCATCTTAACATAACATTAATATATAGAAATGAGATGATTGTTTGGTTTTTTTTGTTAACAAAAGATAATCTCTATTTGATAATGGTAAATAAATTTTTTGATTTAGAACTTTAAAAAATTCCAGCAATTATTACAAAAACTACCAGGGACGCAATATTCGAAACTTTATTATCCAACGTGAAATTTAATGAAAGTAGTGACTTTTAAAAATTCAACCCATTTGTCAAGAACCATACTGATTGGTGTTCAAGGACTTAATAACACGAATATATCCATAATTAAGAAGATTTATTAGGACAATAGAGCTGTCAATATTTTTTAGTTTTTTTGGTCTTATCAATTCCTGTAAAAATATTCGACATACACAATAAAAAAGTTTTGTATACATCACTTATGATGTATAATATGTACAATAAAGATAAATAATATGTTAGTATATTCAATTCTACATTTAACAATATCTGCAAGTGACATGACAGAAGATTCAGTTTAAAATATACACTATTTTTTAAACAAATACCAAACCAAGTGAGGTTTCAATTTTTCATGTCTAAAATTTTTTAAGTTGTCGTGTATTCCATTATATGAGTCTACATCCCAGCCTATCGTAATAATATATGTTATGTATTTAGAAATTTGATAAAAATTTAATTTGTCAACCAGAAGAAGTAAATAACCCGGACTCACTCCTTTATGGTATTCAAGTTCCGCTCCTTACTCTCGTCGGAGTTTCACCTTCCATAGGAAAAGCGAGCCAACCAATTTTCTCCATGAACCATATTATGACATGAGTTATAACTGAAGATTGATATAAACAGGTTCATTTCTTGATTGTTTATAAAAAATAGAAGTTTAAACACAAGACAATTCTAAAGGTTAAGATCAAAAGCACAGGAATAAGACTGCCGAGCGCAACCCGGTGTCTACTAGATACATTGGATTGGTAGTGAGTGACATACATAGATCGCTGAGTTTTTTATTATTAGTAATTAATTATTTAATACACATCTTAAACAATATTGTCGCTATTATATTACAGCAACTTCAAATTATCATCAACAAAACTATGAATTAATTCATTATAAAAACAAGTTTTGTTTTCTACGATGACTCTCAAATTTTATCATTTTAAATATTAAGTATTGCAATTTATTTATTTAAATAAATTTATTTATTTAAATTGATTTATGTATACCAACCACAAGCAAGTATTTTTTTATTGAAAGTTTTTGAAATTTTATAGAGATTATTGTAGTCTTCATATACTGTCAATACCAGTCTATAGAACACAATCTTAGCAATCAGAATGATAATGCAAAGCTTCGTCACCTTATCAATTTCATATGAGAACATTTATAATAATACGAGGAATTAATTAAAGCGTTTAGAGCTACAATCACAGCTGAATTCTCCGCAAGTTTATTATTATTATTAGCTGATCAGTACTTCGGAGACTTTTGGTGTGTGCAGTACGAAGTTGTCTATTTCTTCTGAGAGAGGCTTTTTCACACATTCTTTACAAAGCAGACAACGTCAAAGGTACTAAAAATGTCACCTTTTATGCGAATATTCTTGCTTGTGCTTATTATGGGGCTTAGCCTGCTCTATAAAAATATAAATAATTTACTAGGCCCAGTACCTGCTCCAAAACTGCCACTTGATCAATGGTGGGGCGATGGAGAGAGACCGAAAGATTGGTCAGAGTATGTGACCAACACATCTGAAGTTATTAACAATCGAATTGTGTTTGCTGATAGTGTAAGCATTTAAGTACAATTTTAGTTATTTTAGATAAGTGTTATTTAACCAAAATATTTTAAATAAATTAAAAAAATTTTTAGACTATCGAAGACCTACGCACACAGCTGAACCGCACGTTACGACTTGTGGAACCATTGGAAGGAGTAGCATTTCAATATGGTTTCAATTCGCACTACTTAAAAGAAATTGTTGAGTACTGGCGTGATGATTACTTACCACGGTGGCGTGAACGTGAGGTGTTCCTCTGGCAGTTCAACCAATTCACAACTGAAATTCAAGGGTATATACCACCTGCTAGGTTATAAAAAATATATTACTTATATTATCTCATACCCCATTCGAGTAGCTTGCGCATGCACTTTTTGCATTTAATGGTCTATGATGAAAATAAAATGGGTAAAAAACATTATCCGGTATTGTTGTTGCACGGTTGGCCTGGATCTGTAAGGGAATTCTATTCAATTATAAATAAACTGCACGTACCAAAAAAGAGTGACGACTACATTTTTGATGTTATAGTCCCAAGCTTACCGGGTTATGGCTGGTCTCAAGTAAGTAATAATAATATATAAAATTACTTATCATAATTAAATATATATTATTTTTAAGATTTAATAAACAAATTAAAATTTTATTCTTTGTTGCAGAGCTCTTCAAAACCTGGCCTAGGTCCTGCTCAAGTAGCTGTTATTTTACGAAATCTTATGTTACGTTTGGGTTATAGAAAATTTTTCGTTCAAGGCGGTGATTGGGGTTCAGTGATTGGCGCAAATATTGCAACATTATATCCTGAAAGTGTTTTAGGCTATCACTCTAATATGTGCAATAATTTAAGTCCAAAAGCTGCGCTGAAAGGATTTATCGCCAATTTATTACCAAGTTTCTTTGCTCCGGAAGGATTTAGAGATATTTTCTTCCCACAATCAAAAAAATTGAGCTATCTTATTGAAGAAAGTGGCTATTTTCACATACAGTCCACCAAACCAGATACCATCGGACACGCTCTCACTGATAATCCAGTTGGTTTAGCTGCGTATGTATTGGAAAAATTCTCTACATGGACTAATCCTAATTATCGTAATTTAACTGATGGTGGTCTAACAAAGCGTTATAAGATCGATACTCTATTGGATAATTTAATGATTTATTATTTGACAAACTCCATCACAACATCACAACGTTTATACGCTGAGGCACATAGCAAGGCTAATATGGGACTACAAATGGATCGTGTACCGACTGACGTTCCAACTGGTTGCGCACGCTTTAAATATGATATTATGCATTTCTTGGACTTTCAACTTAAAGATAAATTCACAAATTTAATTCATAGCACCTATTATGGAAAAGGTGGTCATTTCATTGCAATGGAGGCACCAAGTTTACTTTTTGACGATTTTATCGAATTTGTTAGAAAAGTTGAAAAGTTGTTCCCAAAACGTTTTCAATATTAAAACGTTTAATATTTTTTATTTTAAAGATTGATTTCGAAAAAATTTTTATATTGCTTAATTTATATATGTATAAAAATAACAAAGTAACTAAAAAAAAGTTGTTTTAATTAATTTATTCATATCTTCTGTTTTAGGTACTTATCTCACTCTTCCTTTGAACGTCTTATTTTTACCTATATTTAAAACTTACTCTAACTTGCATAATTAAGTGGTTTTAGCAACCTTTCGGCATGAGACCAAATCGCTTTTCACTATCCCTCCTTTTACCTAATACATTCAGTAAAGCCTTTGCTAACTCAACTTACTCACTCCATCGAAGACACAGCTTTTCCTTAGGCTCTTAGCTAAGAATCCACTACAACGTTATAATACTTCTTTCTAATAGTGTTTCAAAAGCGACTTGAACTGCTCTCATTTTCGTTTGGTAAAGTCTTGGCCCCTAGTGATACTAAATTAAAGTTCTTAAGTGTTTGTGTCTTTGGCGAGTTTTACGAAAACGTTCACTTCAACATCAAGGACAAAGTTCCAAAAATAATAACTAACTTCCCCTCAAAACTAATAGCTTCCAGAATTTTGTTCAAGTTTTCATGAGAGCCACACAAAACCAGAGAAAATGTGCCAGAATTTCATTGATTTTCGAGTTCTTACAGGACCTAACTTTACAGGACCTAAAACTACTCCACCTGTTTTTCATCTTTATCAACTTGTATTCGTCTAGATTTTTGTATATATTGAGCATCTGCATACGTAGCCAAAGAAGCGATGATAGAACATCTCTATGTGGAGTTCCTCTACAGAGCTCCTCTATTAGTGTAGTCTTGTTCCGTTTAGCTCTTGTCTTTCTACAGAATAAAAGACTTGTAACCAAAACATAAGTACTTACTTACTTACTTAAATGGTCCCAACAACCCGTTATCGGGTTTCGGTGTGGTGTCAAAGATGCTTAAAATATCATTTTAATATTATCAAGATAATAAAATATATTTTAATATATTATTCAATGCTCCAGATTGATTTAGTAATACCCACGCGGCATATTCTTTATATTCCAGTACTTGGTCAATGTTAAATATCAGTGCATGGAGTGCAGCTTCAGTGGATCTGCCTGTAGTAATATGTGAGTTGTATTTTCGACAATCCTTCGATACTTATCGCACTACCTAAGTGAGTTGTTAACACGTTGTCAATATTATATGAGTTGTCAATATTAACACAACCGTCGCTATCGCCCAGTATAATGGGAATAGCTATAGTCCAGACACCCAGAGTTAGCACTACTAAGTCTTAACTATATAATAATTAATATGTTATTTAAGCTGATGTCAATCAACAACTCTATTTTATTTTGCGGGTAGACGGATTAGTATCTCACCGAGCATGTGAGGTAGTTTCGAGGTTCATTTTGCTTTATATTGAGAGTATAGTAGATTATTAATTTATAATCTGTCTATTTGTAGGAAGTATATTACAACTCTCGAAAAGTTATAACTAATTGTTTTCTTTTATATTTATATTAAATTTAAAAACTTAATTAATAATTGTTATTATTATTGTTAATAATTTATTTAAAAATTATTTAATTTATTAATTTAAATACTTTTTGTTGACTAATACAACCAATAAGTCCACATACATATGTAACTAAATTTAAATACCTTCCGAATTCGCTACTTTCCTCGCTATTACCTTTCGCAATACAATTTCTCACAACCTCTTAACAACCCTCACCTTAACATTTCAGTTATTCCGCTATCCGTTAGTTAAGTGCGCTATTTTAATAACTCTGTGCTTTCTTATAAGGAAGAGAGATTAAACAGAATTTTTCACAAATTTTATAACTTTTCACAGGAGCGTATTATCTATCATTCTCCCATAAGAACTATAAAATTTTTGCAATGATTGATATCGATACCATAGTTGATTTAGCCAGCGATGGTGCAAAGAAAATGTCTCAGCATGAGCTAATTGCATGGATCAATAGTGTCATTAACGGAAAGTACACTGAAGTTGTAGAACTAAGCTCTGGTAATTTCTGCTGCTTATAAAGCGCACCACATACTTGGTTATTGGTTATCATGTATTACATGCATCTTTTCTTAGGTGTGGCATATTGTCAAATCATGGACAAACTCTATCCCAACTGCTTTGGCAAAAGGAAAATCAATTATGATGCAAAATCGGAACATGAATATTTACATAACTTTAAATTATTTCAAAGTGCATTTTTTCGTTTGAATTTCGACAAAAAAGTACCAATGGAGAAGCTGGCCAAGGGTGATGTTCAAGAAAACCTAGAATTTGTACGATGGTTCAAAGCGTTTCATTTAATTTACTCGAATGGCAAGGAGAATATCAGACTGCCAATGGCGCCAACACCGCCAAAAGAGATACTAATGAGAAGATATATACCAAGCAAAAATAAACAAGCGGCGAAAACACCTGATAGCGTGAGACGAAGAATCAATCCAGCCTTTTACTCACCGTCTCATTGTAAACTTTTAGAAAAACAGAGAAATATATTAAATACTAAGATAAACTATACAATTATACTTAAACATTTTATATACGAATTTAAACGTTCTATTCAAATAAAATATTAAGATCAATGTGATAGATTACGAACGTGATTTTTACTTCAGAAAGCTGCACTTCATAGAACAACTGTAAGTAACTGCTAATACAGAATTTTATTCAATATTTAATTATAACAATTATTTGCAGTCTTCAAAAGGCTGTCAGAGATAATGTGGACAAGACCTGGAACCAACATTTACTGGACATAATTTATTTTCCAGAGAATTTTGAATGCGACACAGCAATGATGTAGAATGATATAACTTATTTAACTAAAATTAAAAATCAAGTCTTCAAATTCATAAATAAATAATATATTAATTACAGTTCATAAAATCTACTAAATTATATGTTAAAATAAATTAAAAGTTATTTTTTGTATTAAAAAATTCTGTATCATTAAAATTTCATTTAAACTTTTTAACTTTAATCTGTTGTGGTTCTTTTGTGGTAAAAGCGCAATACTCAAATGATCATTTTTACATCTCCTGGCTTTCTTCCCCGGAACTACTACTGGCATAATCACAAATAGACGATAAACCTTTTGGAAAGTCTAATAATGTTACTTCTACTTCACTATCATTATTCGAGGTAGCAACCGAACTTACAACCGAATTTCTGGAATCACTTAAAGGTTCGTTTTCTTCTTTGGCGTCCTTACTATCACACAGTAGTTTAGCTGTTGTCGTTTTTACATTACTACTACCATCATTTATTGCAACATCAGCAGTATCTGACTTTTTCTTAATGCCCAAATCTTTCGGTTGCAGTTGTGTATTTAACACTTTCAATCGTTTTAAACCGCCAAATGTGGTTTTAGTCGCGCCCGGCAGTATTGATTGCATCAACAAATCCAAACGTCGCTCTGATTCATGTTCTTGCGCAGAACGACTTTGTAGTTTCATTAACGAAGCCATTTGCTTGTCTTGCGCTGTCTCAGGTAAAAGTGTGATTTCCAGACTACTTTTCGCTAATAGTTTCTCATCAAGTTCCTTTTGTACTTTTATTTCTTTCTTTGTTTTCTGTAATATGAAATCAATTGATTAATATAATCTGCCGACATAAATCAAAACGAAAATACAACATACCCTAAATTCCTCGCGTAAACGGCAATTTGCTTCATAGTTATCGTCCCAAATGATGCTATTTCTTTGGTATAACTTCTCTAAGATGGGCTTTGCATCCAGTGCCACTTTAATATCTTTTTCTTGATGTTCCAACTTGTACATAGCATCATCAGCAAGTCGTTTCTGTACTTCTTTAGTTTCAGGCACAACCTGCTCATTTTGTATGGGATCCCAACGATTTTCTTGCCTGCGAGCACCCGACAATATTATATAGTCTAAATTTGCCGGATCAGTTTGCATTTCTATATGATTCTCGCAGAGATGACATTTCATACGAAACTTATATATTGGTGTGGAGTAGTACATGCCCACTTTAGTCTTTTCGGCATTGTAGCGCACACCCATTCCAATGTGATTCTTGCAACCATCACACCAAATATTATATGGCATTTCAAAGCGTATTATAATAATACCCAAATGAATTTTTCGTGCACGCTCACGCAATGCATGAGTGCCACGAAACTTATTAAGTCCACCTTTCTTTGGATCATAATCTGGCGGATAATATTTATTTTGTCCCTTTCGTTCACCCATTTTGATTCAGTATTTTTAAAGTTTTTTTCAAACGCTAGTAATTAATTAATACAATCAATAATTATTATCTTTACAAAAGTTTTATATATTAATTAATAATTAATATATTAAACTTGTAAATATAGAAATTAGTGTTCTGGTTTACAACTATTTATTTATATTTGCTATTTATTTTGACAAATTGACCCATAAAACAGCTGTTTGGTTCGCAAGAATGTTCTAGTGCTGCCAAACTCGCTATGCTAGATGTAACACTTTAAGAATATCTGAATATATTTTGAGAAAATATATTCAACATAAATATGTGCACAGACAAATAATAGAATATATATAATAAATTATAAAATATATATAAAATAATATAAAATAATACAAATAATACATTATTTGTCTGTGGTATATGCAACTATTGCTGTAAGTTTATGGACGTTAATATTTTACTTTAAAATTAATTAGGAGTAAAGCAAGGTCAATCACACACGGCAACCAATTTTATGCTGGAAAAGTAACTGCTTACTTTTGCTGTAGTTCAATTTGTATGCAATGGAAGTCATCGAATCGTAGTAACTTTGAATAACACTATGTATACGCAAGTGCGTTCCAACAGTAAATTTTTGAAGTAAATGAGAACATCTGAGAGAGCGTAACATTTGAATATGCTACACAAACTTTACTCGTACATTTGAAATAAAACAAGTAAAATTTGTTTTGATGTGTGAATCAGTTATTTTGGTTTGAATTTAAATTTTTGTATTGTTTATTTGCGCGGTACTGGTGTTGTCACCAGAATTTACACAAAGCTGTTCCGTGAATATCTGTGTAACGAGTGTAATTTGGCTTTCTATTTGTGTTACTTGAGTTTTACTACGAGTAGCTCATGGAACGGATCTAGTGTATTTATTATAGGTTTTGATTTTGATTATTATAAGCAATCAAATATTTTTTGCAGTGTATTGTGTATTGCCATGGAGAAGCTGTTTGGCAGCACTAACTAAAATTTGTATTCAGAATTTAATTCGCGTGTGCCCAAGACTGTTTAACAAATTGGCTAAAAAGTTTTAATTATTGCCACGTACTTTCTATTAATTTATTAATAACAGATTAGTATTTTAATTAGTACAAAATGAAGATTTATGTTAACGAAGGTAACCCGTGGGGGTTGAATCTATTAATGTTGGCTAAATTCGCAAAACGTGAAGTAGTAGTGGAAAAAATTAACCTAAATGGTAAAAATGAGTAAAGAACTTTTTATTGCGGAATGTTGCAATGAGATGATGAAATATAATATAAATATAAATATTACAGATGCAGCAGCAAAGGATTTCCTTACTTTACCAACTGTTGAATTGGAAAATGGCTTAAAAATCTTCTCAACAGTGGCAATTGCAAAATATTTATTTCCCGACGAAGGTGTAACGAGGGATGAGGTAATTACAAGTGGTGTGGGGAATAAAAATATAAACGTTAAAAATTTTTTGAATTGAAAATTTGAACTTAAGCTAGTTTATTTTTTTATTTCTTAAATATCCGAATAATTTTGCTTTAATTGGTTTGACCTTGAAAAGCTTTATTGATAAAACAACTTATTTTTGTTTTATTTTAGTGGTTGGAATGGTCGAGTACATTGTTAGCGCCAGCTCTAGCACATCACATGGCAGTAGGACACAAAGCTGATCCAAATGCACTTCCAGTACTTAATGTATTAGTACAAAGACTAGAAGAGCGACTTAAAAATTCTGCTTATTTAGCAGGAGACAAAATTACCGCTGCAGATATTTCAGTATGGTCCCTGTTGGCACCAGATGGTACACTAAAGGGTGCACAAAATATTGAACGCTTACGAGAATGGTATCGTAATTTTAAGACCTTACCTGAAGTTGAAAGTGTATTAGCCGTTTTACCTCTGAAAGACTTAACATTTACCGCATTACAAAACTCGAATCGTTATGGTGGATTGCATCACATACCACTCAATGTACCAATAACGGATACTGCCAAAATCTTAGCTGAAACTTCTACTAGTCTAGCAGATACCATAACTGATGATGAACTAAATACTGCACGTGAATCATTTGTCAAAGTTGTGGTACCAGAACGTAAAGAACCACGTACTGTTCTACCGAAGGCTGGTGAACGCAATGTGCTTATTACTTCCGCTTTGCCATATGTGAATAATGTACCACATTTGGGTAATATTATTGGTTGTGTATTATCAGCAGATATATACGCTAGGTCAGTTTAAATAAATTAAAAAATATTTTCAATTATAAGAAACACAAAACAACAATTTTTTTTAGATATGCACGCTCCGCTGGCTATAACACATTACTGATATGTGGCACGGATGAGTATGGCACTGCAACAGAAAACAAGGCTCTTGCCGAAAACTTAACGCCTAAAGAAATCTGCGATAAATATTTCGAATTGCATAACTCTATTTATCGTTGGTTCGGTATTGGATTTGATTACTTCGGCAGAACAACGACACCGGAACAAACTGAGTAATTTATAAATATTTTAAAACATAGTAGTAGTAGTGTTAGATACTCTTATTTAGTTAGGCACTAGTACTTTGTTTAAAAACTTCATTAAGGCAGTATACATACGCTCTAACATATTATGCAGTAAGAGCAATGCGTTAGAGCAGTATTTCTGAATCCAAGACCTACGGCAAACTAGACAAATAAACCATCTGTTTTGCAAAAAAAAAAATGAATAACTTTCATGACCAATCTGATTCTATGTAGCGCTCCATTCTCGTTATGCACAGAGCGCTTTAAATGTAAGCACATTCGGTAAGCGTTCTGTGTGAAGCGCTAAACAATGATGCACTCTACTGCTTCAACTAAACCCATTGAGAGTGTAATGAAACCGCTCGCTTGAGTCCCTGAATCATGTCATCTATTGATAGTTTTTATTGTTAAATTATAATAAAATAATTATCATAATAATTTTTTGAAAACGTGCTTATTTTTAGAGTTGTACAAGAGGCGTTCAAGAACTGTTATGAAGCAGGATACATACTGCAGGAAAGTGTGGAGCAGCTTCTTTGTCAAAAGTGTGATCGATTTCTGGCAGATCGGTAAGTTAAATTTTTTTGGTTTTGTTGACTAATTAAGTGATTATTCTATGTGTTCATTGAGTGCTTTATCTACACTGCAAATGATAAACCGTCATTTTTAAGTTTAAACTCATTTTAACAATTAAAAATAATGCAATTAAAAATAATCTTGATGATACATAAAACTTTATTTTTTTTTTATATTTGCTTTCTAATAAATAAAAATATTTTTTATTTTTTTCATTAGATTTGTGGAAGGTACATGTCCATATCCTGGCTGTGGTTATGAAGATGCACGAGGTGATCAATGTGATAAATGCGGCAAGTTAATAAATGCCACTGAATTAATACGGCCGCGTTGTAAAGTGTGTAACTCAGCACCTGTGGTTCGTTCCTCTGATCAATTATTTATTGATCTTCCCAAAATTGAACCACAATTACGTGAATGGGTAGACCGTACCGAAAATGGTTGGACGCATAATGCTAGAGTCATAACACGAGCATGGTTCCGTGATGGTTTAAAACCTCGTTGTATTACCCGCGATCTTAAATGGGGTGTACCCGTTCCACATGAAGGTTTCGAAAATAAAGTATTTTACGTGTGGTTCGATGCGCCGTTTGGCTATGTTTCAATGACGAAACGTTACACAAAAGAATATCTGCAGTGGTGGCGACCGGCTGAGGGTATAAATGTGGAACTCTTCCAATTTATGGCCAAAGATAATGTGCCATTCCATTCTGTGGTTTGGCCCGGCATATTACTAAGTATTAACAAAGGACATACGCTTGTATCGCATTTAATGGCGACTGAATACTTAAATTATGAAGATGGCAAATTCAGTAAAAGTCGTGGAATTGGAGTATTTGGTAATGATGCACAAGTAAGCACCAAATATTAAATAATTTTAGTGATTAGTACTGAATTATGTGATTTTAGGACACTGGTATACCAGCTGATGTTTGGCGTTTCTATTTGGCTTCTGCCCGCCCTGAAGGACAGGATTCCAGTTTCAGTTGGAATGATTTAGCCGCAAGAAACAATTCTGAATTACTCAATAATCTTGGAAATTTTGTAAACCGCGGTTTGGTCTTCTGTGAAAAGAATTTCAATAGCGTTGTGCCTGCTGTGAACTTAAATAATGATGACTCAATATTGCTTGCCCTTATTAATCGCGAATTACGTGGTTATATCAACTCATTAGAAAAGGCTAGATTACGTGATGGCATCCGACACTTGCTCTCTATATCGCGTCACGGTAATGGATACATGCAAACACAACAGCCTTGGGTGTTGCTTAAAGGGGATAACACTAAGAAAGAGCGTGCTGCAACTATAATTGCTATCTGCTGTAATATTGCTTGTTTGTTAGCTAATTTAATCTTCCCTTATATGCCCGCGACTGCAAGAATTATGTTTGATCAACTCAATACAAAACAGACGCAATTAAATGCTGAGTGAGTATAAAATAATAAAATAATAATAATTGTAAAGAAATTTATTTATTGCAATAATATAATTTTAGAAAACCAGTGGCCACTTTACTGCTACCTGCAGGGCATAAAATTGGTAAACCCGCTCCACTGTTTGCTAAGCTAGAACAGACATTTATTGATGAACTAAAAAAGAAATATTCTGGCCCACAAGTAGTTAATGGCAGCACTGAAGCTGCACCAACAACGGTTGCGGAGCTAGAAAAAGCGATACAGACACAAGGTGAAAAAGTACGTCAACTGAAAGCGACTATTAAAGACAAAGCGGTTTGGCAGCCAGAAGTAAATGTATTGCTGGATCTGAAGAAAAAGTTAACAGAGGCCCAAAAGCATGCTGTGCCCAATAATGTGGGTACTACAAATAAAGAAAATGGTTCACTAACTGTGCCACAACTTGAGGAAGCTATAAAGAAACAAGGTGATAAGGTGCGCCAATTAAAAGAGAGCACAAAAGATAAAGCTGTTTGGCAACCGGAAGTGAATATATTATTGGAACTGAAGAAGCAATTGACTACAGCACAGGAAGCTAATACGAAGAATAGAGGTACGGACAAAGTAAAGGAACTGGAAGAAAAGATTGCTAAACAGGTACAAATGAATTTTTTTTTTATTAAGTCAATAGTTTTTTTGATCTTCCACTAAAATTATTTCTGGGTGTCAGTATCGCGAGGAATTGTTAACTCGTTAACTATTGGAATGGGCTTTAAATTAAAATCATATATATATAGCAGATATTACCACCTTTGATGAATATATTTTTAATTAAAAATTTATATTTTATTTTTAGGGTGAAAAAGTTCGTACCTTAAAGAGCACAGCGGATGCTAACGTTTGGAAACCAGAAGTAAATATTTTACTTGCATTGAAAAGTGAATTGTCGGCACTTATTGGTGCACCTGAACCTGCTGCGCAGGGTAAAAATAAGAAGAAAAAATAAATTAAAATATATAAAAATTTTTCTACGAAAATAATTTGTAATATTTGTGCATAGTTTCGTTGTGTTTTTCAAAATTTGTATGCAATTTTTTCGTGTTTTCTCATATTCACATTATCTAAAGTATTTATTTTTTACTTATTTAAAATTAATTCAAGTTACCTTATGTAAGAGAATTTTCTATTTTGTTTAAAACAATCACATATTTATTATAAAATATTTATTTATTGCATTAAAATTGATTCATACTGTTTGATATTTCCTATTGTTTAATAAAGACAAGCGTTCTTCAAATACTTATTGTTTTAATTCAATTTTTAAGATATTAAGTTAAAACACTTATTTTAATATTAAATTAGAAAGGTCTGGCGGTTCACCGAGATCATAGGTGCGGTTTAAATTCAATTTACAAAAAGAAACAAACCCAAATGAGGACAAAACAAGATAATTTTTACAAATTTTTACAAAAAATAAATGTCCTGCGTATCAAATCCTGAGAACTTACAGTGCACAATCTATTCCATTCTTCTAGCAGTGATGGGAAGACGGCGATCTAAAAGCTAGTTTAGAAAAGGTAACGAAACATTGCACAATGAAGAGAAAAGTATTGTGAAAGATATTTATTTGTATTATTCGTGAAATACCTGTTGTTGAATCTATTCTTGATCCATGTGGATGAATCCTGGCATTTATACGAAACGGAGCTATAGACCAAAAGGACTCAAATTTTTGCGAGTATTTGGGCAAGAATACAGAGGGGCGATGTCACATGAAATAGTAATAGTTAGACCTTTCATCAGGGAAGGGCTTATTTCTGTGTGACAATTAAGTGTAGACCATGTGGTTATATCCTGACCTTAATTGGGTAAGACCTATTCTTCTGCATAAACCTCAGAGATGTTTTTGTTCCTCAGAGATTTATTGTTAAACAATTGTCATCTCGCAGATGATACTGTCTTGCAGTGATATGAAGAAAGGGAACTGGAGGAGGTCTACAGTGTCCATTCATTGTATCGCTAGTTGGGTATTTATACATGTAGCATGAAAGAAGAAGTTGTTCTTACAGCAGGTGAATGTACTCTTTAAAGAAGGTCCTTGTATCGATTTGTTGGGAAGAATGAGCTGTATGAACTATTCTTCGCTGGTTTGGGGATGTGAAAATGGATAAAAATGATCCGATTAAAAGTGTGATGGAGATGTTAGTAACTGGCGGTAGAATCAGCACGATTGGTAGGTTTATTGGAAGCGACCAATAACGATACATGCATGTAAAGGCCAACTAAGTAATCTCAATAGATATTGCTAAGTAAGTAATATCCGTAGATGTTCTGTTCACAGTAAATTATTTTACTATATGGTGTTAGGAATATTATTATAAACAGTTTTGAATTTATGAAAGACTTTTACTTAAATAACCAGATAATAAATCGTCTTCTATAGTAATCCGCTCCAAACCATACATGCTTAGTTTATAACTGGATTTTAATATATCAAATCAAATCGAGATTAAAATTTTATAGTTATATTAAATCTGATTTCCTCGGTATGTGCAATGTTTTAAAAAATATATTAAAGTACAATAATTATCTTTTTAAATTAAAACAATTGAAAGTAATTATATTAAGAGATTAATTTTATTATTATTATTATTATATACACTTAATATTTAATAACTACTTAATATCTGCTGCAATATCGATATTGTATTCTATTAACTAAATATAGTGATTAGTACATTGTAATAAATATTTAATTTAACTGCTTATACACAAGCAAACATAAATCTATTTAATTATATATTGATCTCATTGAAATTTTTTAAATAATTACTTAAAATAGTTATTGTATAAATAATAAGTGCTAATTTATTTTAAATGAAAATGTTTACTAATATATACAATTAAATTTAAACTTAGGGACTAGCGCTTATAAATTAGACTACAGATATTTCTATGACCAACATAAATAATTGATTTTAAATTATTTATTAAATAACTTAAAAAACTATTTTTTTATAAATATTTTAAATAATATTTTTGTATTGCAATACAAAAATGGCATATAAGCATGTGGAATGGAAGATATATAAACGGAGTTGAGGTGTTATATAAGGAATAATTATAATTTATAGATTTATAATGGGAAATATTTGCGTCATGCTGTTTAGATTTATTACAAAAAATTTATTAATATTAAAATAATAATTAAATATATATATAATATGCATATTTTAAATTTTGAAATGATTTTTAAAATTTATATAAATTTTATTTATATAATATTATTATGATTAGATATTAATTGTATTTATTTTATATTATTTTAATTTTTATTATTTTTATAATTATTTTTTATTTCTTTTTTTAAATTGATATTACTATTGTTTTCTTATATAATTTTTAAGTTTTATTATTAATTTTGTGGTAATTATTTTAATATTATTTTTTATATTTTTTATTAAGCTTCTTAATGTTATTGAAATGAGAGTAGTCGTTCCATATATATGTATTAGAATTATATATGTTAAAGTTATAGTGTTATAGCGGCCTTATGCCCCACTACGGGAAGTGAACACTCAGAAGAAAATATATGTTAAAGAAGCAGATGTGCAGAATGATAGTTGAAAACGTTTATAGTCATTTTTGATTAAAGTCAATAGATGTTAAATATAAGAAATACAAGTAACGGGAGAAATGAAATCATTATAAAGAAATAATAATTGAAATAGACATTATTTTAAATAATTAAAATAAATTCTATTAAAAAGAATGCATAACTTATAATATAAGCAAGATTTCTTAATATGAGTAAAATAATATTTTCTTTAGTTGGGAATTTATTAATTTCAAATTTAAACAATATTATTAGATCAACGCCGATTTCGATTTCTCTTGTTAGCCATATTTCTGCATCATTAATTTCATCCTTATTTTTACATTATAAATCTAATTTCAAATCATTCAAAATATGTGCACGATTTATATATATATTCAATAGAATCACAAAAATATTCCAATAATATTTCAAATGGACTACTACTTCATATAGTAACTGCTCGGCGCACGCCCAGATGTATATGTGCTCATTGGTATGCCTTGTGGACCAGGTATATGACTATTTCCCATATGTGAATGTGTTGATGACTGATTTTGTGAACCATAAAGATGATCAACGCTCGTATTACCGATGCCATTTCCGGACGGTTCATAATCTACATCATAATAGATGCCCGATTGATTCTGTAAGAAAGAGCATCATTAAAAACTATTTAATAGTGAAACAGATTGTTAACATACCGCTATACTTCCGTTACTTCTACTCTTTGGGCGTGGTACTTGAAAATTACGACCTAATAAATCTGTTCGATCTTCCTCTTCACTTGAGCTTGAGTTTTCAAGTGTACGCATGCCATTTGAACGTACGCCAAGTCCCAGTCTTCTGAAATAATGAACATGTAAATATCCAAAATGGTTAAAATTGTACTATTACGCACTCATACCGTGGCAATGGCACCGGGGGAGCGAGATTCGCATTTTGATGCAACATAGTTCCCTGCATTGACATACCACCTATAGTGCCCATACCCATGGCTTGCAAGTTTGGATATGCAAACATAGCAGACGATGGTCGCGTTGGACCTATTGGTTCAGCCTAAAAATTTTTAAAGTGAGTTGTATTGATATTTTATATTGTAATAAGATAAGATAGATGGTGTAAAATATTTCACAATATTTGCATTTTCATATTTTTAATCCGCATTGTGTTCTCAAAATTTTAATTAAGTGTGTATTAAATTTTACCCCGTAGTGATTAGTTTGCGCCATAACATCTGCAATTTGTGCCCAACGCATGCGATCCTCAAGCGTTACTTGATAACCAGGTTGTGCTATACCTGCCGATTTGAGCGGTGCTGTATTCATGTATCCAAATACTGGCGAACCCATAGCATTCTTCTGTTCCCGTTGCCATCTACGTGACCACATAATCAAACAAACTAAAGTCAATACGATTATAATAACAGCAGCAACGGATGCTCCAATTGCTACTCCCAGAACCTCGCCATCAATTTCACATTGGCTACCATAGTGACTGCCATCACAGGCACAAATTTGATTACCATCATCATTATAACTACACGTGCCACGATTATTGCAATAAGAATCCGGACAAGATTGACAATCACGACCAGCACGCTGTGGTTGATCTAACCATGGATCTCGGTAACCGACTTCACAGGCACAACGGAAACTACCCCAAGCGTTCGTACATGTTGCACTCTCATGGCAATCGTTTAGTTCATGCGATTGACATTCATCTAAATCTTGCAATGGAGACACTGCACCTTCTGGAGAGGAGACGTATAGTACTGAATTGCCGATATTGTTGTTGCGGCGATGTAAGACACCAAGCAAATGTTTCTGAACATCGCTGCGTAAATTGGGACGTAAGGTTTCAACACTTTCATCAAGCTGTAACAGAGTTTAAATTAATAAGATATTAAACTATTTGCAAATTAATAGCTTACCTTTATTGTTAGATTCACAAAAACACCACTACCACCAAGGTTTGGATCACCACGGTAAATGTTATTAACTTTTGCCTCCATGAACTCGTCTGAATATGGTGTCATCGACATAGCAGAATCAATCTGAATAAAGGACGTGTTGGTTTTTAAGAAATCACTTTTAAAATCATACACACTTACTGCTCGAATAGATTCATAGCTTAGTTGCCCATAAGGTTCACTGTTGAGATCGAGAAGTTTGTTATCCCATACAATTCTATGCTCATAGATGCGATCCACACGCATGCCCAAATAAAATGAAATCACTTTTCGGCAAGGTTCACGGTGTTTCCGACGGGAGTAACCTTAAAATATTGAATGAATAAAAATGAAAGGAATGGAAAAAGGAATTGTATTTCACACTGTCTAACTGGACACAGCTCTTCAGAGGAAGACTAGTAATGAAACGCTATTTATTTGTTTTACCTGGTCGACAATGACAACTTGATACACCATTTTCCGTTTTACAATGCTCATGTTGTGCTTGATCGC